ACATGCAGTAGATTAACACATATATGGTCCGTTGCCAGTTTATTCGGTACACTCAGCTGTAACTAACGCAGTCTAATGCAATATATCCTCCTTCATGAAAGCTATAATGTTCAGTCTTAGGTGAAAGTGTTTTAACTTTATGGTCTTTATGGTTTGTGGTGCTGTCTAAACTCCCTGTCTCGTCATCCTCCCAGGCCTGAGTAGTCCTCTCCAGATCTTGGCTGCTCAGGCCTCCAGCTCCCCTCCAGTGCTCGTGAGCAGACAGCCCAGTGCGGAAACCTTAGCCGAGCAGCCAGGCGCACCCCAGGCCAAGCGGCCAAAGATGGAGGACGAGGGTGGGACTGAATCTGCTCAACATCAAGTCACACCTGCTCAGCAGCCTGTCATCGTTGCCATGACATCACAAACCCATGACCCAAGGAAGTAACACCCAGGCCTTCTTACCAGGTACCCAATGGACAGCCTCCTGATCGTCCCCTAACAGCTTCACCTTTTATACTCATTTGATATGACTGCAGCCGACATGGCCAAAAAATGTACAGGCAGCCTCTCTCAACAGAAGGGAAATAAATTGTAAGGAAAATATATTTTGGTGAAAAATGAAAACTTTCAAATACACTCTGAATTTAAAAGCAAGTAAATCTTTCAGGACTTTTTCAGCTCGACAGCCTTTTTTTTTTTTTTTTTTTTTTAATGTAATCCACCATTCGTTGACAACAGCAAGCAAGTAAGGACATTAAGCTTATGAAAGCATTATGCATATTAAATCTCATTTCATTTCAGCACTACTTTTACTTACGTGAATGTTGGAGAATATCTCAGATGCATCGGTTATTATCACTCTCAGGCCAAAGAACTCACCTCTCCTGCACTTCTGATTAGAGTCACTGCCTGATTTCAAACCAGGGAATGTGTGTTCAGAGAATTCAATGGCCTGTATCTACAGAAAAAAACTGTGATGATCAGAATTGATATATTGTGTAGTTAAACACAGTTGTGGATAGAAAGGTAGAGAGGACTTAACTGCAGAACAGGTTGATGGGGCTTGGGAGACTGTTAAGAATATGATTGTACTCTTCATAAGGCAATCCTTAGACAATAAAGTGAGACAGAAGAAATCAAACAGGTTGTGTCTCTCAGAGAAGAAATATGTTAATATTAAGGCCAAGCCCAGAATGTGAGGTCTCTCTTCTTCTTGTCTTCTCTGTAAAGCACAAAGAGAAAGAGGTAATGTTTTCGAAGAAGAGGTGGGAGGAAATCCCAGACTTTAGTGGCTCTCGCTTCACTTCAGCAGAGTTTGGTTTATCAGTGTGGAGCTCCTCAGATTCAAGATGATCTGGGTAATTGGGCAGTGAAGTTGGAGCAGGGAAGGGGAAAAAAAAAAAAAAAAAAAAAAAGAGGCAACTATTTGGAGTTGATTGAAGTGGAGCTAACCTAATGTAGACAAACTGATTGTTGTTTTAATTTTTTTTCTTGTTTCAGTAGTGGTAAAAGGAGAAATGGAACAGCCTGTGCGTAAAGTTTTGTCCTAGCACAGCAAAGCATTATTGTAATAATCCTTAAAGCCTTAAATATTTCTACTTTTTTTTTGTCATTTAATTTTAACCTTTAGACAGCTTTACCTTTTTAGATAGTTAACACAGCGCTTCTTTAACAGTACATGATCGGCAACACTACAATGGTGACAATTATGTTGCATTAGTAGACTTGTATCAGTTTTATCAGGGGAAGGGCGGGACCAACTCATGACCACAATTTCATTTCACCTGCTCTCTTGTCTGTTTTCTTTCTTTCTGTATGGTACATTTGACATCTTTTCTACTCTTAGCTCCCCGCTCTTTTGCTTTTATTTCTGCTCTATTCTTTTCTTCTTTTTTTTTTCCCCCTTCTTTCTCCCCAATCTACCTCTCTCCCTCTCTCAGCAAGCAGTCTCTATCTGCGCAGTCTCTACAGAGGCATCAAGCTGTTGGCAATTCCTGTCACAGACACTGCCTTAATTAGATATTCTTCAGCACTTTCTCCCCCCTCTCGACTCTCTCACTCTGCCTTTAGCTTTTCCGAATGTCCTCACACCGGCCTCACTTTTAGCTGGCAATCAGGCACAATTTGCGCAAGACTTCAGTGATTGTTGTTGCACATTATTAATATATAAAAAACAAAACAAAAAAGATGCGTAATGATTGTATGCTGCTCTTTCTGCTAATGACAAAGCTATTTAGAAGGTATTTTTTCTCATTTTGGAAAAAAAGAAAAAATATTTTGCTATGTGTAAAAACGGCTGTCATCAATACGTAAACATTCTGGAAATAGAGAAGTATATGTATTTTTAAATGTTCCTGTTTTTGTGATTTGTTAAAATGTGTAGCACAAATTAAAATTCCTCATTGATGTAAATATTCTATTGTCTGCTCTCGTGACATATTGTCGGCCATGATGGGTAAGATTCCAGTTGTTGTTTTGTTATATTTTTCAAAGCAGAAAAATGCAATTATCCAACCGTCTTTATTCTTAAATACCATCATTTTTAACAGTATAAATAATGACCAGAGAAGAATAGACATGCATGAGGTCAGTGTCATACAAACCTTGAAACACACAAAAACAAAATTTAACTGCAAAGTAACGAACAGAATCAAAGATTCTGAGTAAAACCAAACTGATGGGAAAAAAAGAAACCAAGCTGACAGAGTGTGTGTGTGGAATAATTTAGAAATGAAAACATTAACAGGTTATAAAAAGACATTACAACAATAACAAAACCCCAACAAGTGTCAGCATTAGTACTGAAATGATAAGTCAATTTACCAATTGTTTAAGGTTCCAGACATTTATCAAGCAAAAATGTCAAATTTCCAGTGGTTCCACTTTCCCTGCTTTTGCTTTGTTTACAATGTGAATTGAATCTCTGGGTTTTGGTCTCTTAGTCAGACAGAACAAGCTCTGAGCAACTGTGATGGGCATTTTAATAAGATTTTCTGACACTGAACAGACTAAATCATTTGAAGAATAATCAGCAGATTAACATCATGGAAACAATGGTCAGTTGCAGCCCTAGTCAACAAAAACAGCTGTCCCACAGTCCTTCACTCCCTTTGTTTCATTGCCTCCTGCAGCTGTGGGGTGTTCGCTCCTACAGAAGGGTTTGAATGTGATTCTGGACACAGGCGGGCAGATGGTATTCTATGGGGATCTCTACGGAGCTGGGGTCAGGAAAGAAGAACAGCCGACGTAGAACTGACTAAGCGTGGCTTTTTTTTTCTTACATTACCTAGGCTGTGAATTAAGGACTTTTTCAGAGGTGACCTGTCAAGCCACTGTTCTAGCTGGGTCAGTTAGATATGCTTCTGAGATTCGTGCGTCCACCCTAAAACAAAGGAGATGAGAGGAATTTTGATGTTTTGTGCTCACAACATGGAGAAGTTACTTCAAAATCCATCAGCAACCTCTTCTTCCAGAGGAGGTGTCCTCCTTACTCTGGAAAATCCACAGACTGAACAGTCTTCATTGGAACTTCTTTCCATGTAAAGACAAAGTTAATCCAGTAGATTGTCCAGTGTAACGGGGATACTGTTCTGGAAACACAATTGCTGTTGAATGTTTTAAATGTGAATTTTCAATACTCCACAAACAAATTCCATTCACCTTCACTGTATGTTTTGAAGGCAGAAATCTCACTGGCAGACACTTTAATCCCTCGGGTGTAGTGACCCTTTAACGACCTGTGTGAATGGTAATATGCAGTTCTACGGATCACATCCTGTATTTGTATTCATTAAACTTAAGATAAATTATTAATGTTTAGAAAAGTGACACGACCCATAGCTATGTCTCTCTCCTTTCAGAAAATACAGTTGCTTTTTTTCCCATCAGTAGTTTCAGTATTTACTGACCAATATGTTTCAGCAAAAAAGTTTGACTAGTAACCCCAAATGCAGTTTCTCTTTTGTCCAAACAGTGTGTGACCAAGTGTTAAATATTTACAAACAATTATTTACACCTCTTAACCAGATACATACAGCATATGCTCACAAGAGAAGTGTTGGTTTAAACACATCTGGATTGTGCATCAGAAACTCTGGAGTGAAGCACAATGTCTTAATGATTCAGTAATTAATAAACAATGTCGCACCACAGCTGCACATCCGCTGCGCAGGTCGAGCCTCAAGAGTTCATCTTTTGTCCAGTGAAGGTAAAGTTCAATGATGAGGTGAAATGTGAACGGGGAGAGCTGGTTGTACGTCTGAACATTCTTGAGTTTGCCTCGTCTGCCGGCCTCGCCCACTCTCCAGTACAAAAGTCAACAGTCATACCGCAATGGTTTTAGTCTGATGAGCAGACGGTGATGATGCCGTGGGAGTCGCTAACAAACAGGTTTATAAAACATTCCACTCTAAAAGCACTGTGTAAGACATCCGGCTTTCACTGAGGTGGTCTCCATTTGTAAAGTACATTTTCAGTTTGTGTCCAACAGTCTCAGAGTCCCTTTGTCTGAGAGCTATTTTACCATGCTACTTAATGCCTGAATTACTAATACAAATTATTCTAAAATACAGGTGGAAAAAGTCCAGTGTGTACACATGCTCCAAGGGCTCACTGTTGAAAAATTAAAACCCTACAATCTACTGTGCTTTTAAACCGCATCAGACTGCATACTGGCTGGTTGGACCTCGCCCACCTCAAACACTGATTAATTAGGCAACTTTCCGTGCAGCATATTCCTTTGATGTCGCGGTGGGTTACAGATTCTGTCTGTCACACAGACCCTGTAGGAGTCAGCGTGAGGGAGGCAGGTCTGGCAGCTGTGGAGTGGAGTCGTGGAGCGTCATCTCCAGTTTGATTGCTTGGCTTTGTGTTGTGCTGACATTAGGTTTCACATTCATATTTCATGCGGCGTATGTACGCACAGATGTGTGTTTGTGTGCGCCCTGTTCATCAGTGCACACATCTGTATCCCTCACTGTCCTACGTGTTGTGTGTGTGTGTTTGCGTGTCTTAGCTGGGCAGTGGAGGTGGTCAGCAGGAGGAGGCACTGATCTTCTCTGAAACCTCGGGGTCGGACTTGGCTACCAGGAAACGTAGTCGACCTCCTCCCAGACGAATCAGATCCACCGCGCTGCATCGAGCACGCAGGAGGAAGTAGAAAAAGAAAAACAGAGTCTAGTTACATGAAGCTCAGCAGAGACAGAGTACGGATGGAGGAGCATCACTGTCTGGGCTCGCACCAATCAATCAAAGTAATCAATTGGCTTAAGAGGCTGACAGCAATGGGTATGGTTAACATTGTGGGAAGACTGCTCACTCTGTCATTCATGTCAATATCAACCAGTAGTATCATAAATCTCCACCAGCTCATTGTTAGGGGCACAAACGGCACCACTGGAACATCCTCTGTACCTCTGGTAGTCTGCTCCTATCAGACTGGTCCCGTTCACTGCCAGGATGCGGTCTCCGATCCTCAGTCTGCCATCGGAGGCAGCCGGTCCTTCAGGGATCAGAGTCCGGATGTAAATCCCTGGAGCGTTGAGAGGAGTGTGCTGCAGGAGGGAGTAGTGTTGGTATGAGTACAGTGTGCATGTGTGGGTTTGGAAGTAATTGAAATACATTTTTACCGTAGTGATGGAAAATACTTGTTTCTTATTAAGTCTCCATTAAAACTGTAACACTTCAAAAACAGTGGTATAGAAGCTACAACAACAAACTGGCACTTTTGCTTAACTTCATCCATCGATTATCAAAATCATTTGTGAATCAATTTATGTCAGGTAACTGATTACAACGAATTGTTTCAGCACCAAAACGAGCAAACGAATGCATAAAAGTATAAACACAGCTGATCTCTTTTGCCAGTAGTTGAGTGACCTTGCTATAAGCCTGATAATAAACTTTGAGATTTCTTAATTTATAAAAAATAAGAGACTTGACAGAGAAAATGCCACTTTTATTTTTCATCACACATTTTAGTGTCATAATATTGTAATGAAGCTTTAACATGTGTTCTGAACTTTGTTTTGACTGTTCTAGCTGATTGAGTGAAACATATAGTAACAGTTTACTTTATAGTTAGAAGTTATAGTTCTGTATAGTTATGAATATAGTTAAACTAAGTGTTACACAATTTCCCAGCAAGCTCAATAATGTACTTTATACCACATATGTAGACAATTTCTCAATATACTTCTCAAAATACGGTCACATTGTATCATTACATATCAATATTAAGTTATCTGGGTAATTTGATTTACATCTCTTGGATCTGGCCTCGATGTCAATGTAGTTTAAACACGTTTTTGTTTGTTTTTTTTTTCTGGCAAAAGTAGTAAAACCAAGCATTTCACGAAGACAAAAACATACTGGTGAAACTTGGACTGACAGGTAAGGTAAAATGTAAATGTCTATTTTTTAACTTGTGTCTACTCACCAGGCCATCAATGAGTCCCATGCCCAGTCCATAGGGTCCTTTGTCCAGTTCCACTACAAACACCACACATAAGTCATCAGGAAGGGGAGGGGCGCCAGGGGAGGATACAGGGAAAGGAAACTCACACCCACTAATACACCCTGCAGAGGACACGGACACCCGAACCCACAAACACAAACACACAAACACACACACACACACACACACACACATACACACACAGGGTCTCGCTATGGGGTCGGACAAACATGAGAGGTTTTGCTGTGCAGAAGAAACACACACACACACACACACACAGATACTGAGACACATGCAAAGATGCAGCTACAGAGTAAATCTGACAAGAGCCTGCAGATGTCACACTCACTACACTGTAAAAACAGCACAGGCAAGATACTGCTGTCATGTGAGGTACAGCTGACCAACCACTCGAACATTTTAACTACGGAACTGCATTGAAACGGCACGTTCAAATTTAAAGCTGCGTTAATTGATTTTTGGCCTTTTTATGGTTAACATGTTAGCAGACAACTAGCTACTTACACATCCTGCAGACAGAGAGCAACTTTATCTCTGAGTGTAATCATGTTTCTGGACGTCATTCTTGCCAGGACTTCCAACCCCTTAGAAAACGCATCTTTAATGCATGTTCAACAATCTTCTCCAGTTGCTAGATTTGTTTTCCGTACATTTGGTGCGCAGCAGACAACATACAGTGGGTTTATCAGTACTTCTTGTGAAAAACAACTGCTTCCTGCAACTGGAAACAACGCTGATCACAGCACTACAGACTGAATCAAACAGAAAATGTGTTATTTAACCAATTGTATGAGCTAAAAGAGGCTAAAAATTCAGCTTTAAGTGAATTTAGAATGCCACCAATTTTCTGCAGTAACATATGCCTATAGTTTGTTTCCAATACAATTTATGCACTCTGTATATTGCATATTGGTAATATATTATGTAGGGATACGCCAAGACTTCATTAAGTGAAGTGGGTATTGGACATGACTCGTTAACATTAAATACAGTTTAATTAATGCTGTATAAACAATCAGTGTTTCCACTATGAGTTAAATTCATTCATCATTAAGTTCATGGCTCATTTTACTTAACATAAAAATAATTCAGACGGGTTTCTCACAGTGAGATATCTAGATTTTAAATTTGGGAAAAAGAGACCAATGGTACCATATTGGCCCTCAGTATCAGAAGGTGAGGTATCCGAATCGGTATTAGGAGAGAAAAATATGGATCCTTAATATGGTGTATAATGAACTGCAAGATTTAGACTTTCAGCTGCACATTTGGGGTGGACAAAATAACAAAAACACTATGTAATATGTGATTTAGTACAAAGATTGTGGTGTTTCTGTGTGGGATTCCATTATACTGCTCATGTGTTCCTGTTATTTTGTCCACTTCCTGTATATAATTCAGCCTACCCTCCAGTCCATTGGTGATGAGTCCGTTGGTCTTCTTACTATCTGCCACAGTTCTGCTGGTGCAGCCGTTTGTCTGGGTGTTGGGGCCTATGATTGGCCCAGGCCCCCCTCCTCCTCCTCCTCCTCCTTCCGGGTACAGCGGGGTGTTAGGAGGGGTCAAGAGGCAAGACGGATCTGGATTTGCTGTTCGTGGATGGTGAATGGTGCCGTTCCTTCTGAGGCTGTGTGTATGTGTTTGGCCTGAGGGTCTGTCCCGTCCTCTCTCCTCTACTGTCTCTGCCACCACCTCGTCCCCGGGACCCCCAGAGCGGGGACTGCTGTGGGCCGGAGGCAACAGCTCCCTCTGTGTCAGGAAGGGACAGAAAGACTTAAGAAGTCACTACGAGAGCTAAAGTTGCCTGGATGCAGAGGAAGCCAATAGAAAGACCATAAACATTCCTGTTTTTCACCTGTGGTAGAGCACTATACTAAAAGCTTTGTTCCTAGATGCACTTCATTTAGAGATGATTACAGTTTGGATGTATAATCATTTACCTTTTGGCATATTTGTGAATGTATATGTGTTCCTGTGCGCACGTCTATGTGTATATATGAGGGTGCAGTAACACTAAGGATTATGGTCTAGTCAGCCGTTCCCACTAATTAGACAGCCTAAAGACTAATCAGATTAACCATGATTTAACCATGTCTAGGTTTCTGTGAGTGTGTGTGTGTGTGTGTGTGTTCGGGTTGGCTGGAGTAGAGGGTTTTTGTCTTTCATTTATGGGATTATGAGGAACTCCTCAACAACCACAGCTGCTGAGGCACATGGCCTGGATTACTGCTAGGTGTGTGTATTTGACAGAATGCGGTGTATACGTGTGTGTGTGTGTGTGTGTGTGTGTGTGTGAGAGAGAGTCTTGTGACCTGCACGTCGGGCCAGTCGGCTGTGTTGGTTCCGTTGGAGTGTGTGTGCACACTGGGAGTGCTGGTGTGTGTTTGCGTCTTGGTGCGTAGCCCCCACAGGTAGTGGCGGATGTAGAGCAGCTGTCTGTAGATGCTGTCCTCCACACACTCGCTGTCCAAGTCCACTCTGAAGCCGGCGCTGGGCAACACTATGGGAGGGTGGTTCTCAAAGCTCTCCAGGAGGTCCACTGAACACACACAAACTGATGTTAACAGATGTACGCACACACTCATGCATACACATCTACATCATTAAGGGCCTGATCCAGGATTGCTGTACAGCTGCTCCATCCACCTCTCACTCTTTCTGTTTTGCATCTACTGGTAAGTCAGCTGCTTATCCAGGTTTCTACTCACCGCCCTGTGTGTGAGGGTGTGTCCTCAACTTGTGTTACAATAGCGCTTCGATAACCAAAAGACATGATAGAATTATGTAATGATGAACAACCACAACTGCTAAAATGCAAGTGAGCTATTTTTCACGTTAGAAAAATGGGCCCATGGGCAATGAGGTTTTGTAATTCATTACTGGTGTCAGTGGTAAATACAGCAGCCAGTCAGAAATGAGAAAGGAGAGCGATAACATGATCAAAAGCTGGATAAGATGAATTATTTATACAATGATATGATTAACCAGGTTTTTCCAAATCTCTGTGTAAATCTGAATACTGTCTATAGATACACCTACTGTAGCTAAAACTTAACACAGGCTAACACAACAGTCCTGTAACTGTATGGTCACTTTTGAAGGCTGCAGTTTGTGGTGCTGTTGAACTGTATTTCATTTTACAGAGATGTGTTTCTATTACTCTCATTGATGTACATGCGGTGGACAAAATAATCATAGAAACACCAGCCTCCAAAAAGAACCATATTTCAATGAAAAAGTTCAATGAAAACCTCTCTAAAACAAATTCAACACAAACTGAACATTGTAACCTTCATGAAGGGGGGATTTATCAGGACAGGACTGTTAGTTTCAGATGGGTGTACCTAAAAACTGCCAACTGTGAGTGTATATGTCTTATATCCTGAACGATCAAAACAAGGACATGAATCAAAACCAGGGTACTGTGCGTGTAAGCATAAAGTGTTTAACAGCAGACGCCCTCTAGAATGTAAACTAACCCAAACTCATATTGATTATAGCAAATGTCCTTGTTCTGATTCATTTGTAATTGTTTGTGCTCAATCTTCACTGACACCCTCCAGAGAGAAGCTGCACTACAGCCCTTTCACCATCGGACTGACGACCTTTAGTTTGAATGGGGCTGAGATACAGACCGATATATATTGTACCTACCGGACAACCATAACAAGGGCTTTATGTTCCCATAATTCTATGGGCCACAAAAATAAAGTCATACAAACTCACTCACATCTATAAATTCACACGTGTACCTGTTCTGTATATGTAAGCCTCGTCCTCGCTGCTCGGTTGCCATGTTGGGACGGGGCCTATCTCTGCTGTGAGCTGGTACTGAGTGAGAATCCTGTGCAGCTGGACGGGTTTGAGAGTTGGGTGCTCACTGGACAACGCGCGCCAACTCAGCTGCAGACGGAGAGGGAGAAGAAGAAGAGGGAAAATTAATCAGAAGTCCTTTTGTAACACAGCTAAGCGATCAAAGGAGGTAAGACAATTTGTGGGCAGTGACAGGTTGTAGCTGGCTGTGTGGTACAGAGCTTTATCTATCCATAGCTGATCAGTGGGACAGTTCTGCCTGTGTGAGCCAAATAATAGCCAATCAAAGTTTTCCTGTTCTCTGCTATCTATACTTGAAAGACCACAGGATTTGGAACCGCCTACCTCCATTGTTTGGGTTGATGAAACTAATCTTAATAAGGTAAGCTTTTCTGTTCGTTTTTCAAGTATTGCCACCAAATTAGCACTAGCTCGCAAACAACAGACAAACAACAACAATAAAAAAAACAAAACAGACAAATCCTCTGCATGATTGAGAGGGGTGTTTGTGTGTGTTACCTGTGTGAGTTGTTGTGGGGCTGTGGCCAGTATGGACACAGTGCTGTTGAGTTTGGTGAAGAATTTGTCGGCCAGATGTCCCAGACCAGACCTACTCGCCCACTCCATGACCATTCGCAAACATGCCTGAATCTGCAGCACCTTGGAGCGCTGGAACCAACCACGAGATGGACCTACACACACACACACACACACACACACACACACACACACACACGCACAATTGTTAAGTTATTTCATCACAAACACTGCAGTAAATTTCTACTCTAGCGTTGCATGAGTGCACATCTGAGAGAGAGGCAGAGTAGAAGGGACTGTGTGTTTCTATGCATGTTTATGTGTGTATTGTACGGGAATAGAGAGATTAATTTTTAATTAAGTTGATATTGAAGTCAATGAAACAATAGCAACAGCCACCAGCCGCCGGCTCCTCGCAGAATACAAATCGAGACTGCTGCAGAAGGGCTGAGCTGGGTTTGTGTTTTACTGCACAACAAACCAGCACTCAGCCTGCATTCCTCACTCTGGCTAATCCCTTCTGTCTCTGTATCACATCAAAGAACTGAAAGAAGTTTTGAGGCTAGTTAAGCAGGCGATAACTCTAAATCTAGCATTTGTCAAGCAGGCATCCCAGAGTTTGTCAATCTGTCGGTACATTACCTCACTGCAGCCGTAATGCCTTTTTAAGCTTTCCGAAATACCCCCTAAAGTGAGCTCAGGTCTCTGCTGGGCTTTGGTACTAACAATGACAAACAACTGGACTACAAAACCTCTTTTTTTTTTTTCTTTTCTTTTTTTTCTCATACAAGGAGAAGCGAGCACATTTAGCTACTAGCTACTTTACATCTTCACTTCCTGTGCAAGTAGATACAAACAAGATGAAATACAAGTACTACAAATACAAACGTGTAGAAACGTAGAACCACACACACACACACACAATTGACAATAACTTAATGTAGGGCTACAAGTAATGATTATTTTCCTTATCAATGATCAATTTTCATATCTTCCAATTATTTTCATGATCAATCAACGAATTGCCTGTTGTCCTCAACCCATTGTAAAGGCACTACTAAAACCTTTGTATAAAGAGACATTTCAAAGTGTATCAATAGGTTGTGTGGCTCTCTGACACCTATTTTTGTGTTTGTCCTCTTATAATTATATGAGAAGCAATAAAGTAGAAAAAAGAAATCAGGAGCTATCTGAGCAGAGTAAGTAAATAAGATTCTGAATCTGGTCCGACAATCAATGCTAGAGATCGATGAACATTGAGTATGTGCAGATGAATATTGGTCAATACTGGTCAGTACCAAAAAACTGAGATTTCATATTCAGTTTAATACAAATTAGACATGACAGGAAGCTTCAGGCAGAGAATAAATCAGCAGCATTATGTTGAGACAGCTCCGACATAACTCTTCAAATATTCTACCATATGTTTTGGATGCACACACTCCCCTCTGTAATAGGCTTATGTCTAGGCATACAGTAATCTACGTGTGAGGCATCGCAAGCAGACGAGACATCACTTAACCCCTTAGCCAAGGTGTCATAATGCTTCATAGCACCTCTAGACACAGAAAAGACACTGTGCACTCTCAAACCAACAGTCCAAACAACAAAGAGCTATCCATTATGATCTGTTTGCAGGGGGCGAGATGTCACAACACACTCGTACACACAATCAAACAAATCAATGACAGAGCAGAGCATCTGCAGCATGTTACATCGCTTCATCTTGAATTCCTCGATCAGTCTTTTTTTCCCTGAGCGAATGTGAGTGAGCGAGCGAGCGAGCGTGCGCGTGATTTGCAGAGGGTCCGTTGCAAACGTCAGCGTTACCTGGTACAAACTCACTTCACTGTTACCATGGACACCATCAGCAGAGAAATATCAATGAGCGACAAAAAAAAAAAAAAAAAAAGGGGGCGCGAGGGAGAGAAGGAAAAAGCCAGATAGACAGGATGGGAGAGAAGGGAGAGGGAGGTGGGGATGAAGTGGGAGACAGGGTAGCCTCTGCATGAATATAAAGGTATTTCTCCTTCTCCCTTTGCCAGACATGTGATCTCTCCTGTCTCCACCGGCTAATGAAGACATATGGTGTGTGTGTGTGTGGTGTGTGTGTGTGTGTGTGTGTGTGTGTGTGTGTGTGGCTGCAGATATAAAGTGAGGGTGTGGAGGTTGGAAGTGATGGGTAGTCAGACACCTACATATAGCTGGTGGTAAATGACTGTTTTCTGTATTTAGACAAGGTAATAGACTATTAGCAAGGTCATCACAACAACTGAATGGCCTTCCAGCCCTTTACCCTTCACTCTGCCCTTAGTCGCCCCTCCCCTTCTCTATCTCCTCTCTCTCTCTCTCTCCATCCAACCCAACCTCGACTCCTCTTTGTCTCACCCCCTGATGGCCAGATGGAAGGAAGGAAGGCAGGAAGGAGGAGGAGGAGGAGGAGGAGGAGGAGGAGGAGTAAGAGGGGGGAGAAACAGAATGCAGTTAGGAGAAGGGCATTGAGGACAAATCTGGGTTAGTCTCTGTCAAAATGCTGACAAGGACACAAGGACACACTCTCTCTCTCTCTCTCTCTCTCTCTCTGTGTGTGTGTCACAAACACTAACAACTGTATAAATCCGGAGGGAGGTCTAATGGAAGAGAGAGTGTGAGTGTGCATGCTTTTTTTGTTGTTGCCCTACCTTTGTCCATTAGCTGGTTAAACAGCGACACATTGGAGAAGAAGAAGAGGTAAGCAAACATCTGAGCCTGGATCTCCGGGTGGACCTGGTAGCCCTGCAAAAGCTCCTGGGCATTTTGAAACACCTGAACACACACACATAGGAAAACACATGTCAGTGTGTCAACATCACACTGTTGCTTTTGTCAATCATATATAGACAAGAATTATACATAATATCACATACTTTACACATTATGCATCAGCGAAACTATACCCAAGTAAAATGTTCAAACCTAAGACTTTTTATGGAAATATTCCAGTGTCTTGTGCATCATGTCAGACACAGTTGGTATCTTTGCTTTGGGATCTCTTTAATATAAAGTTCTGAGAGTATGAACTGTTTGTATTAACCAGTGATGCATCAGCAGCTCAGAAAGTTTCAACTACTTGTCGAACGGATTTTAGATCCGTTTTCATCAGTTTCTCTGTGAGGCAAGTGAACAGTCGAAACACATGGTTCCATTGTAGGGAAAAATGTGGATAAGAAACAAGAGTTTGGCTGTTCTGACCTTTGCAGACATTTGTCACCTCATGTGAGACAAGATTTCTTGCTGTATGAAGCAAAATAAGGAGAGGTGTCAACAGCCCACTCTGTCCTATGGGCCAGTGTGTCACTATTTATAGCAGAGAATATACCCTTCAGACCTAATCAATTTTTAAAATTATTTTTAGAATTTCTTTAAATTCATCCACGATCCCCTTAACTATTTCTGTAATTAAACAGAACATTATTGATTAATTTGTAGATTATTTTTATGGCTAATCATTGTATCTTCATTGTGAATTAATCTTCCAATATATGATAATAGAGTAAGAATCCTGTCACTTTATCCCAAGGTCTTCAGATTGTTTATTTTCTCCAAACTACAGTCAGAAACTCAAATATTCAATTTAAACCACAAAACAGCAGCAAATGCTCATCGTTGAGAGATTCCCACCAGAGAATGATTGGCATATTTCCTTGATAAAAGTGATCAATCGATTATTAAAATTGCTGTCAATGCATTCTCTGCCAATTAACTAATTAATCAATCGACTAATTGTTTAATCACTAGACCTAACTGCACTACAATACAGTATAAAAAACAAGACGTGCTTACCTGGAGAACCCTGCGTATAGGTTCAGGAAACCCTACACCTCCTTTCCAGCAGGGCTCAGAGCTGTCAACTGGGAATGGATTACAGTCCAACAAACCTGGTAACACTACATAAAGAGCCTGGACACACACACACACACACACACACAAGTTAGTCATACTCTTACCTCATCTAGTCATAAATATTGTGTGTGTGTGTGTGTGTGTGTGTGTGTGTGTGTGTGTGTGTGTGTGTGTGTGTGTGTGTGTGAGACAACTCAATCAGATCCTCTGTGTAATGAGGGTCTGTTATTATTCATGTAGGCCAGTTTTAAAAACAAGATAAAAAATGTCTTCATCATTAGGAGGATGGCGCTGTTGCCACCGTGACAGATTACCTTGGTGATATAGTAGACACATTGTTGGAAAGTGTACATGATCACTTCTTCCAAGATAGTCATTGCCTCCTCATTGGCTGATATGGTCGCCGATAGCAACGACTCCTTTGACCCTACACACAGATGACAGAGGCAGAGGCATATTTAAGAGATATATACTGAGAGAGAGGGAGTGTTGCAGCTGTATCAGTATCTACTGGATGTCAGTGTGAGTAATGACTCTTCAGCCAAGTTGTTTCCACGCTCATCATTCAGACTGTGTGTGTCTGTGTGTGTACCTTGCAGTGTCTCTATGCTGTGTGTGTACGCTGGTGCTCTTTGCTGTATAAAGTAGAGGATCTCGATGGAGTTGGACATCCAGAAGAAGATGGTCTGCAGGTCTGGGATCAAGTCTGAGATACTGAGCAGAGACAGGGAGGCCGGGTCCTGGCTACATGGACACACACATACACACACACACACACACACAGAAACAGTGGAGGGTTAAACGCAGTTAGGTAGACAGACTGACAGACTGGACACACCGACATACACTGTACAAAAAGCACACATGCTCTCTTTCTTTCTAACACAAGTCGGAAAACAATACTCACTGCTGAGCTTGCTTCTGAGCCAGCTCCTTTGTCTTCTCCTGAAAGGTGCACCCACACACACACACACACACACACACAGAGAGAGCAATTAAGTGCTCATTAAACTTTTAGGATGTGCGTAGGAGAAGCACACTTCATGACGCTATCACTAACCTGGCGAGAGAAATACCGCTATCATATTTACGAAACCTTGCATGCTCACAGTGACACACATTGATAATTATCTTGTGCCCTATTGGCCTAAATATAATATTACCCTTATTATAAATACAATAAATAATAAAAACACCCTTCAGGAAAGAAAGTACCCACACGATTTTATACAGCAAATCCCAGATATTTAAATAACGCTAACTAACAAAACTGAATTTGACTCAAGATTACATCAGGATCGGCCAAATAATTTCCTGATATTTACCAGCTTTTAAATAATAATAATAATAATAATTTTGTATATCATTTTCCAAAGACTTACAAAGAGCTTCACACAGTAAACAACACCAAATAAATCTAGGATAAACTATTAAAACACAATAAAGCAAAACAAACATAAACAGACAAATTTACACACAGACACAAGTACAAAATAAGCTCCACGCACCAAATGACAGAAGCTAACAGCAAGTTGTAGAGTGTTAACATGAAAACGTCTATCTGTACAAGTGTGTTTTGAGAAGGGACTTGAGGGTAGATACCTAATTGGAAAGCCTACAGTCCTCTGGCATGGTGTCCCAGAGTCGGGCGCTTTGATAGCGAAGGCTCTGTTATCTCTAGTTAGCCACCTTGATCTAGGGACAGCCAGGAGATCCATGCCAGAGGAGCTGGGCTCATAAACAGCGAGGAGTTCAGAAATATAATTTGGGGCCTTGAATGTTATTAGCAACATTTTCAAAACAATATTAAAATGAAGTCTGCCAAGGTTATTGTGGATTGAATCTTTGACATCCAACATTTACCTGAGGCAGTTTATAAGGTAATTTAGACTGCTGGTGTCGGCCACTGTTAAGGGTACATATAGTTGGGTGTCATCTGCATAAAAGGGACATTTTAGATTTACAAATAACATCCCCAAGTGGAAGCATGTTTATTGAGAATAACAATGGACCTAGAACTGAGCCTTGTGGCCCTGCTACATGTAATTTGGGCTGTGGAAGATGAGGGATTACCAACCGAAACATAGAAAGTTATATGGCTCAGATATGATTTGAATCAACGAAGGGACTTCTTTAGGTGATTGAGCGCCTGAGCCTTTGGTAAGTCGTGTCAAATTCAGCACCAAGGTGAAGCAGTATCAGAACCGAGCAGTCACCAGCATCAGACACAATCAATAGATCATTAGCAACATTCAAAATGGCACTTTCTGTACTACGATGAGATTTAAACTCAAATTTCTCCAAAATGTTATTTTTATTCATGATTAAATAATAATTCAGTGAATCAATAAATAAATTTAAAAAAAACAATATGACAAGAGGTAGCCAAGTAGTTGTTGCTACAGAAATTCAACAATTGCTCAATTCATGGTTTAGTTAGAGGTGAATATTGTGTGTGCCTGTCTGTAATACAATTTACAAAGGAAATGCAACCGTGTTTAACTATTCACCTGACCTGACACGGCTGACTGGTTTCCCTCCACATGGGGTCATCTTAATGACCAAAGCACCACAGAGACCGAAAGACAAACACGGAGACAGTTAGACAGGCAGACACTGACCCATGCGATGGTCTGAATTCGCCGCACGATCTTGAGCAGCAGTTTTCCAAAACTCCCAGGTGGGAAGGTTGAGGCAGAGTGTTGTATGCACAGACACAGCAGGTAGGCTGGTGTCAGCTTATGGTCGTCTCCTAGGAGAAACACACAGGTTTAAAAGGATCACATCAACCCGGTTATAAAAGACTTGAATGTCATTTTTCAATTGATTGATTCTATATTCACCATTTGATTTCTATAACCTTTGACAACAAAAAGAAAATTGATGAAACGGGGCTCTTACTCTCAGGAATCGGACATTGATTAATGCTCTTCTCACCATTTTTCCTTAGCTCTCTTTTTTGTTTCAATATTAGGGGTGACTGCGCCCAAATCCCTGTGTGATGAACTGTACCTGTGTATTTTATTTACAACCTCATCCCAGCCCTCATTTTGTTGTTCTGTAGCTCATGTTGCAGAGATACATTAAAAAACATTTTTTTAAATGCTTTGTGGACCAAGATGAGATTCTATGCAGCTCCTCTGTATCGTTCTGTCAAAATCTGGGCAAATAAAACCCAAACTATCTGCATGGCTAGATACTACTAGAGGTAAAAACATCATTTTTTTGTAATTTGGGTGAAATTACATTTTAATTGCAACACAGTACATCAACTGAGATTAAAAAAGTCTGTATTGTGTGAGTCTACTGAAGTTTTGTTTCCTATATATTGTAAGTCAGAGCACACACCTCCAGGTTCTATGAGGGACACAATTCTGTTTAACAGCTGGTCTTCATGAGCCTGGTCAAACTCCAGCTGTAGCCTCCTTTTCTGACCTCCCCCTCTTCCTCCTCCTCCTCCTCCTCCGCCTCCTCCGCCTCCTTCCCCTCCTGTCAAACTAAGGGGTCCTCCTGCTGTTGTCCCCCCGCTGCGGGGTTTCACCAGGTGGGGTTTGAAGCTACGTCTGACTGCCGGAGCACTCGACACCTGGGCTGCTCTGTCCTTCAGCACAGAACCACACATCTTACAAGTCTGAGCCCCGCCCTCTACTTCCTCCACTCCTGCATCGTAAAGCTGCCCCAGGGTGCGAAGGCGTGCCAAGGTCTGAGCAGGCAGAGGCTTAGCACCCGTGGGGTCCTTGTACAGGAAGATGTAATGCGCTCCGAAGGAGAGGAGGTCACCGTGTCGCAGCGTGGTGGAGCGCTCGCAGCGGGAAAAGTTCACCAGAACGGTGGCGTGGAGCACAGGCTCAACCGCAACACAGAACCGCTGACTTTCCGCCAACTCCTCTCCCTTGTTGTTATTGTTGGCATGGCGACGGGGAGCAGGGACTCTGCGCAAGCGGCAGTGGAGGGGCAGGATGTCAGGGGAAAACAGGCAGATGTTGGGACGAGCTGATGGAGTCTCCTGACCGACTGTGTGCTGCTCTCTGTTCAGCAGGTACACCAGGCAGTCCTGCAACACACAACACGACCAATGTCACAACATGATCAGAAATATCAGAGGTCCGGAACAGCACACATCTTCTATCTACTATCCTCACCTGCCGATTGTATCCCTGCAGCAGGAGGAGATGTGGCGACTGGTACAGAGAGTGCCTCACCCCTCCCTGACTCCCCTCCTCTTTCCTCCGGCCGCTGGAGGCCACTTCACGTTCCCGGCCCCTTAAGGGCCCTGGCAGCGTGGAGTAATAACGCTTGGGCTCGTCTCCTACTCCCAGCTGAAAAGACATGCACACACAGAGACACACAAGCATTCAGGACCTAAGCCAGGCTGATAACAAGTCCCATGAATAATAACAATCAATCATCCTGACTAAGCTTCAATGGAAGGCCCCACCTGGTTGAGGCTGGTTTCACTGAGGCTGCGGCAGAAGGATGAGTTGCTGGAGCGGGGCAGGGTCAGTGTCCCCTTCGCCCTGTTCCTCTGGAGCTTACGAGCTTGGGCATTAATATCTACAGGATGGCAGAGAGGAATAGCAAGCGAGAGAACAGGGAGGGAGAGAGAAGGGCAAGAGGTAGAACGGGTGGAGAATAATAATAAGGAGCAAAAGGAGGAAGCGGAGCAGGGAAAGAGAAGTTGAGGACACAGAATAAAAGAAAGGTAAAAGTGTGGAAAATAAAAAAGAAAGTGTACTTAAATGTGACATGCACCGTTAGAATGTAAGACTGACTCATGAGTGAGGTCCGGATTAAGTAACGTCTTAGGCACAGTCATGTGTGAACCGAGTGGAAACAGAGTAAAACCAGTCAGATGAAGTCAATGGCGCTGGATGAGGCAGCACATGTGGCTGACAACAGTGAACCTGATGAAAGGTGAACTCAGCTGCTCCTCATGGTTTCAATCGGAGGACTTTGAGGCCATGCAATGGCTCACACAGATTGACACACACACTCACACTGGTTGAATCACTGGCAATGGGTGTGGCACTGGTGACAAGGCAGGTAGAGGTGGTCTCCATGGCAATGACTGACAGCCACCCTACCTGAGGCCAGTCCCCACCTTTAGAGCTGGACTGTACCACTCGACCAGACCGTAGGGGGGAGCTCCTGTGTTTGCCAAGCCCGGACCGACCCATTAGAGCCGCCAGGAATTGGGGGGTTTTGGGCCCTACAGCAGGGTGGGAGGGGTTAGGAGGGGGAAGGCTGAGACAACACCCCCCCACCAAGACACCAAGCACAGAATAACTCCCATAAACACACACACACACACCAGCCGCACACACACCACTAGACATGCAAGCACTGTGGAGCAAAAAAAGGTCTGTGACGCTTCTAGTGAGTCACACCACCAGTTGGTAGAAAGAGATACACGGTTAAAGGTGTGAGGTACAGGATTTTCCTCCTAACATATCACTGTCAAATTAATAACTTTAACATTTGGTCTCCTTTGTGCTTTCATGTGAGTCAATTTAGGGTTTTTTTTTTGTTTTCTTTTTTTTTTTTTTAACACCCAGTGAACTGGCAGCAGAGTTGGGGATGTAGAATATTTCACTTACAGATGATAATATAATTAATTTGGCTGTGATGTGTTCATGTGTTTAATGAAAATCCTACAGTACCTTTAAAGTGCTATCTCGTCATAGAAAGTGTATGTGAGAATACACACAATTCACAAATGCACGTGCACGCTCACATGTACACCAAGGGGAGAAAAAAGGACACAAAGTTAGAGACAGAAGAGAGAACGAAAGGGGACTCAAGGGTATGTGACCTTGTAAACACTATAACACAACAGAGAAAGGGGTTAGTGTGAAAATTAAAATATGTGTATTTATATGTATTAGTTTATCCCGGAAGACTTTCTTTGCTGTGATTGTCTTTTGTTGATATTTTCAGATGCTAAACAGAAAGGTATAAGCTGTTTAACTGTGTTTGCGATGTTTTAAAGCACAGTTTAAAAAAAAAAAATGCTTTTAATGAGATGGGTAAGGCTGGGGATAATCTATATTTTACTAAATGTAAACAAATCAAGTCTGTGTTGCCAGAGCCTGATATAGTTTATTTCTCTGTGCTTTCTCTGTTGCACTGGGTGACATCTTCCATCACTAAAACTCTGCAGTTTTATTTTGAGTCAATCCCACATACATCATCCTGCCGTAAATACTTAACCTGCACACCAAATGTGTCTTAATCTGCTGTTGAAAATAGTCCCCAACAAATGCATAGTCTAAAACTGCAGTAACACGCTGTTTTAAGAAATTACAGAAACCTACAAGAACAGTGGAAACAGTGTCTTTCTGTGATAATACACTTAACCAGAAAAGTAGGGATCTGTTACATGCAGAAAAGTGATAAAACATTTAATAAGATGAATACGCGCACAAGCACGGCACAGACAATGTAGGGAGGTCAGAAAGAATTTGAACCTAACTTGGAAAACGTGACGGAACCATGGCATTTATGTTTATTTCATCCATAAATTGAGGGAAGCTACAGTTCTCATTGATCCACACAGATGTGGTGTTTTCACCTGCCACAATGTTTTGTCACTTCACATCCTTGATGGACGTCATAGTTTATTTGCTAAATCTGTTTCCATTGCACTTTGTTGTATTTTGCTTTTATTGACATGCCAACTTTTCCACCTTAACCAAACGTAAACTAACTTTTTTTTTTTTTTGCAATAACCTTACTTTTTTGGACTTTTTTATGCACAAATTGAAAATACACAAATATTGAAATGTGCATACACAGTTTTGCTGAGCGAAGCTGAATGAAGATCACAGACAAAGTCTTCAGTCAGTCTTTTGCGATGTGTTTATTGCACATGTTTATATCGCGATGACGATGAAATTAAGCTTAAATCGGTCAGCACTAGTATTAACATGCGTCTTCAGTGATCCGATCACAAGTGGAGCTCTCAGTTTGTCAGTTCACACCTGACCTTAAAATGCGTCTCCACATGTGTTTCGATTGACCACTTGTGATCGGATCTCACTGCCAAGCTTTATATACAAATAACCAATCTATGCCCCGCTCGCTCTCTCACACACACCGACACTAACACACACACACACAAGCATATTAACAACGGACATGCGAGATCCGATCACAAGAGGTCAATAGAGACGCATGTGGAGACGCCAGGTGTGAACTGACGAACTGAGAGCTGTCCACTTGTGATCGGATCACCTGAGACGGATGTTAATACCAGGTGTGAACAGGGCCTATGAAACTGTGGCGGGACTAAGACTGTCAGAGGACGTCAGTAGAGTAGGCGGCCCGTCAATGTGGACACATGTGGCCCTGACTACCCGAGAGATCGGATCTCAAATGCGTCCTCGATGCATCTTGGGTGCGTTCACACCGGGGTTGTGCCGATGGACGATGGTATCAGTGATCAGTAAATCAATACTAAATTGAATTTGCCTGCCACAGTTTAACGTATATAAGTGACGTCGCTCACAGGGTAACGTAACGTTTACGTAACACACAGGTGTTGAGCCATTAGAAAATGCAGAGCACCACCAGCCTTATCCGTTCAGGGTTTCATGCTTTTACGGGTTACACTGTTAATTGTCTTCTCTTCCATCTGAAAATTATACCGCTGCATCACACAAGAATATAACACAGTAAAAGAGATTGCTGACTGACTCTCTGGCTACCACAGATGTTGACATAGCAACCAGTAACCCTGGCATGCTTCGTGAGAAATGTTAGTGTTGCTGGAAAGTGCGACAGTGAGGCTGAAAATACTTGCTCTATCGCTCTGAACACTCTTGTTCTCTAACTGGGTGTTTGTGAATTTCTTCAACAGGATGCACAGGGATGAGTGTGTGTGCGCACGTGTGTGTAAATGGAAAACTTTTCATCAATCAGTAAACCAATTTCACATAAAGGTCACTGCATGGTTCCTGAAGAGAGACACACATTCACACAGACATAGATTCATATTACTGCAATGCAGATGTAAAGTCACAACAGTTGTTTTCCTGAGTTTTTGCAGTGTGTTATTATCTATTGAAATCTATCTACAAAATAGAGTCAGTCTCTCAGGGAAACTGTAATATCACTTAAGAGTTCACAGTTCAGGTGTGAGCCAGTACAGTTATGTGCAGGTACTTTAGCATGAAAGTGAATATCACCTCCCTCGAGTAGAAATGTGTCATTCATATAAACACCAGAGTGTCCTCACTGATCCACACCTCTGGTTGCAAAGGATTCAGCTTTCACTCAATCAATCGACCAGCTGTCCATGCATTTCTACTGCACTGTGTTTGTGTGTGTGTGTGTGTGTGTGTGTGTGTGTGTGTGTGTGTGTGTGTGTGTGTGTGTGTGTGTTTCTTTAAGTGTTCGACTGCACATGTGAATGTGTGTCTCTCTACAAGAAACCCAGATGAAAAACTGTCTTCACAGATCAGCAGCTCCATATACAACAAACATTGGTAATCACACAGAAATGAAATTTTCTCCATGGGATAACATCTGACAAAAGCTCTGATACTGCATCTCCACACACACACACACACACGCGCGCACGCACGCGCGCACGCACGCACACACGCACGCACACACACACACACAAAATCACTGCAGAGGAGCTAACGAGNTGTGTGTGTGTGTGTGTGTGTGTGTGTGTGTGTGTGTGTGTGTGTGTGTGTGTGTGTGTGTGTTTCTTTAAGTGTTCGACTGCACATGTGAATGTGTGTCTCTCTACAAGAAACCCAGATGAAAAACTGTCTTCACAGATCAGCAGCTCCATATACAACAAACATTGGTAATCACACAGAAATGAAATTTTCTCCATGGGATAACATCTGACAAAAGCTCTGATACTGCATCTCCACACACACACACACACACACGCACGCACGCACACACGCACACACACGCACGCACACGCACGCACACGCACGCACACGCACGCACACACACACACAAAATCACTGCAGAGGAGCTAACGAGCTGTGCTTTTCTGCTGAGTTTGACATGTTAAGAAAGAAAGGGAATTAGACCAGCTGCTGTGTGTGTGTATGTGTGTACCTGTCTGTCTATAAATATGTGTGTGTGTGTGTGTGTGTGTGTGTGTGTGTGTGTCTGTTTCCTCACCAGCAGTGATGGTATCCTTCTCCTTGGCGTTGAGTTCCTCCACCTCTGCTCTCCTGCGCAGCTCAAATCTGCGAGCGTGTCCTTCTCGGGGTTTCCACAGCTCTTGGAGCAGCAGCGGCTTTTCATTGTCCCCCAGTGCACGCAGGCATTCAGTCCGCCAGCCCCCTCCTCCTATCCCCCCTCCCCCCTCCAAGTGTCCGATCACATCGCACAGGACATAAGAGTGGGCAGCATCCTTGTTGAGCGAGTAACGCTCGAGTGCCTCTTTCACCAGCTCCTGCGCACTGGAGCGTGGCGTGGCCAAGACGCTCTTGTAGTTGGCACCAGCACAGATTTCATCCCCAAAAATCTTCAGCACCCCAGGGGCCGAGCTCTGTGTGGACAGTTCAGCTGGGTCATCCGCCGGTCGCTCCGGGGGTTCAGTTGTTGAACGCCGGTCCCCACGGGTGTTTGTTCCAGTTTCTGCTGGAACACGGTCTCTGTAACTAAGAGTGCGGTACAGGACCTGAGGAACAGACAGACAACAACGACTTCACTGTAGGGCCACAGTATAACAGACAATATGTCAAGTATATGCCTCTTGTACTACATATTAAAGTCAGTTCAACCAAATCACAAAAAACATTTGCCTCTAATGGTGTCTAGCCAGGCAGATTGCTTTGATTTAGGGCTGCACAATATGCAAAGAAAAGAAAAATATGTGCAACTATATTGGCAGATATTGCGATTGGGATTTCAGTTGGATTGGAGGTTTCTGCATTTCATTTTCACTTTAACAAATTCAAAAATGATGATGACGTGATTTTGTTGGGTCTTGTACCAAACAAACTACACATTTGTAGGCAGGCCATAAGTGTTGTAGCACCACAACACTAATGGTGCTAAAAAACAAAAAGCACAACAATGTGACACATTTTTACTTTATCAAAAAAATTGCAGCATTTTTTGCAGCTCCTGCGATTTGGATACTGCACTTGGCCATATTGCGATTAATTGTGCAGCCCTACTTTGGTTTTATTTGCCATGGTCTGGAAACATCCATCTCTGTCATTTCTGCCAACACCAAATGTCACATCTCAAAACCACAAATGTCAACCTCATGGTGGCGCTAGAGGGAAAGTCAGTAGGATTCATCCTCCAATAACCATGAATGTTCATGAATTCAAATCTCAGTCAAATTTCATGGCAATCCATCCAACAGTTGTTCCCATATCTCAGTCTGCACCAAAGCGGTGGACTGACCGACACTGTAATCCCAAAAGCCACAACACCAGCCTGACAAAACAAAAATCATATCTTTCCAAAAACAGTATCACAGTTACAGTGAATAACCCATTTTAACCTCACAAAATAAACCCAAACTATTTACATGGATAAATAACACTAGAGACAAATGAGAAATGTGTTGTGTTTTTTTCTTGGTAACTGAACTGACCATTCATTATGTGTCATACAACATATTTAGATATAGTGCACATCTAACCACTTCAGTAAATACTGCATATATATATATATATGTATATATATTAATACGTTCATTTGCTAGCATGTGTTTGTTTTCACTCTCTATTTTGACCTCTGTTCAACTAGGATGGTCCGTTGAGATTGAAAGAGTTCTGATCAAAGTGACAGAGAGTGTGTGTGTGTTTGTGCGTGTGTGTGTGTGTGTGTGTGTGTGTGTGTGTGTGTGTGTGTGTGAGTACAGTCACTTCTGGACCTCACTGTATACCTGCGTGAAGGTCCTGCTCTGGCGCTTCAGGCGGCTCTTGGACGGTAGGGACATACTGGCCCCAGAGGAAGAACCGTAGAACATGATGCTGCTGTTTGTTTCACAGACTCCACAACTGGTGAGCAAGGACACACATTTCAAAATCTTCATTTGAATCCAAAGGATTCAAATATTTACAGAGGCAGCACACACACACACAAACACACACATGGCTACATCTTACACTTACTTTTGGAACATTTGTAGATCTGGAAAGTAAAGAAAATCTACTCTAAATCTATTATGGAATATGTATCCACCACAAACAGACCACGATTAATAACAAAAACTGTGTGCATGTGAGTGTGTCTGGCCAGTACCTTGATGCAGTTACGAAATGTCACCTCTATGTGCAGCAGCACCAGGTAAAAGTTTAGAGTTGCACGTCAGATGCTTTGCATTTCATTTCACTGTCACCTTTCACACTGGAGAAGGAAAAAAGACAATAGTGATGTCAGTTTACAGAAAAACTGAAGCCTCCCTGTGAAGTTATGGATCACTGAGGTAACTTTTTTTTTTTCCCCAGATCCTTTGGGATTCAGATAATACTGCTGTGGCTTTCAGCTTTTTAATGATTCCTTGACTGAGCTAAGCTGTTTTCACACCAGAGTCCAAACTGCAAATCAACATCATATTACCTGCCAAACACATTTCCTAACCTTGGTCTGTTGGACCAACTACAGACTTCTGGGCCTAGACGGAGGAGAGCTCAGATCAGGATCATGAAATGTGGATTTTTGTGCTAAAACAAGCACTTTTTAAAAATCCAGTTGTGTCTGTATTCGATTAGAGAAATTATATATTAGGGCTGCAACTAATGGTTATTCTAATTATGACTTAATCAGATGATTATTTCCTTGATAAATTGATTTATCATTTGGTGTATAAAATGCACAATAAACTTTATGATTAATTGACTATAAAAATAGTTGCAGATTAATTTCATGGCGATCAACTAATTGTTGCAGCTCTATTATGTATTCCTACACTGACCTTCTACTTCACACTTTGCATTTATTGGATGAACCACAGTGTTTCATCTTGCATCATTTAAGAGCTCTGTATTGACCACTACTTTTTTAAAATCATGAAGTCAGTTTGTTATTTCTAGCAATAAGAACATGTGAATGTATGACCACTTCTGTGCTTACTTTCAAATCCAGTGATTATGAGACACATTTTTTAGAACATGGCAAACAACTATGCACTTTACAAATGCACAATTTAGAGTTGTCCGCCCTTTGTTTTGGCTTTAAAAGGGTTCATAGACCTGATTTGCATATATTCTAGGGCTACAGCGAATTACTATTCATTATCTATGAAGAAATCAAGTACATTTTTTAATCAGTCAATTCAATGTTTTGCCTATAAAATGTCAGAAAATAGTGGAAAACACCATTTATGAGTTAGTAAAGCTCATGGTGGCATCTTCAAATGTTTGGGTTTGTTGAACAGTCCAAAACCCCCAAATCTTTTAATTTACACTGATATAGAACAGAAAAAAACAGTAAATTTTCATTTCAGATGCTGAAATCAGCAAATATTTGGCATTTTTTGTTTGATAAAGGACACGCATGATGAAATTAGTATCAAAGTCTTTCCTTATTTTTTTCTGTTTACTGTTTAATCTTTGCTCAGCTCTAATATTTTATATTTTTGTATTGCTACATTGTTTGTCAGTTTTTTAAGTGCATTTTCAAGCCAGCTCTCTTGTAAAACTGTAATCCATAACATGGTCAAAAATGCATAAAGAAAAAAGATAAACTCTGTGTCTGCCTGCATCCAGGTCATGCATTTCTACCTCAATAAAAAGGGCTGTTTCCAGTCCATGTCCCCACAGATGGTGAGTCACACTTCACTCTTGGCTTTGGATGAACTCTTTTGACCGATGAAGACTTTAATGCTGGTTACCTCAGGAACATGGTCTAAACATTTAACGGCCAGTGCACCAGCAGACTTGCCATTAGAAGAAAGCTCATGCAGTGTGCTTCGATTTGCAACTTGTGCAGTTATTCACCTTTATGGTATACAATTTATTTTCAGCAAATATTTGGCAATCAGCCTAAAAGGTGTTGTTCGAGCTGACTCTGCAAGCACTGGTGGGATAACGTGACTATTTTAAATGCCTGCTAATCCACAGTAATCTGGCTACTTGGCCGCAGTTAACTCAATCCTGGGACTAACAAACCCCTCCTGCACACACACACACAGAGAGAAAGAAACAGAGTGAGGCCTAAATTTTGCATTGGTCGGTTGTATTTTGTGACCCTAGGAGGTTGTGTTACATTTGGTAACCATGTCACAGAGACTACAACTTCTCCTGCACCTTTTGACTCGCAGTCTGTCCTTGTCTAGGCTACGAGAAGGTCAGAATTAAACACTGCGTAAGGAAAAGTGGACACCTATAACAGGCTGGATAGTATTAGGCAAAGCTTGTGGTTACTACGGGTCTGCCCTTTATTTAATGTCCGTCCGTCTGTTTACGATTTTGGGCTCAGTGGTCGTTAGTAGCAACCGCCGTAGCAACAAAAGGCAGGAAGAAATCCTCAGAAATTAATCCGCTGATGAGTCGCCAGGCGCGGCACTCAAAGCTACCAGCCCGGCCTCTATCGGTCAGCAGGTGTGTCTAATTTTTGTACACGAGCCCGTCACACTCATCACATGAATTATCAATTAGCTTAAAGCTTGTTTCGTCACCTAAACAACGCTCAACAAAAATTACATTAGAAAAAAAAAATGCTGTGTTTAATTATGAGAGTGTTTAAAGATGTTGCGCGTTTGCCCCTAAATAAAATAGGTCCTGGAAAAGTTGAGGTGTGAATCCAGCAGCGACAAGCCCAGTCCCCTGAGGGCTCTCCTGGGTGTCTGTTGCGTTAATACTCACGCTGCCTGCAATGCGTGGCTCCATAGTGCTGGGGAATCCTTCTTGGTTTGTCTCTTATTCCGTCTCCCCTACAAGAAAATCCCCGGTATAACGGGGAGGAAAAAAAACACCCAGCTGCCCTGTTCCGAGCGACACACCGCTGTCCGGGGCTCCCACCCACATCCCCAAAACAGCCCCGTTAACTTGGACGACAGCCACCCGCTGAGTGCTCCTGCTCCTGTACGCGCATCTCCGCCGAGTGTCCAGCAATGCCCACTGCCTCCGGCAACCGCATTCCCACATTCTCAGCGGTTCACTGCCGAGCCGCGACGGAAACACCCGAGCTCTCCGCGCTGCTTCACCTCGGCGCACCTGCTCTGGCGCCCGAGTAAGGGGAGAGGACTCCGCCTGGCGGACACTGGCGGTACGGCCGTTACATGTGCATGAAGGCTCTGGCATATGGTCCAAACTGGTCAATGTTAGATACTTCCTCCAGGCCATTTCGACGATACACATCACTAGTTAAAAATGTTAGAACACCACTTTTCAGTTTTTGTTGAAATTCTCTGTGAAATTAAAGCATAGAACAAATAAACAACAAGAGATATAAACAAAAACAAATCATGGGATTGTAACCCTTATTTCTTGGTCGGTAGCGTTCTCCTGTCTCTCTGGGCTGTGGGTGATAAGTGGGCAACAATTTTCTTTTAGCTGTCTTCTATAATCACCACCGACACGGCAGGACAGTTAACTCATCTTTGTTCTGCTCCCTTAGCAGGACACGTGCAACTCATAGACTGTCACATTCACACCCGTCCCCCTGCAAACATTGGCAGGTGGGAACCAAAAAAGTGCTCCACACTACAGGGGATGGAAATAAACAACTTGAATGTTACACCTACAAATTATATATATGAAATAATAAAGTAATGTAACTTATAAACTCAGTGAAGTAATATTAATTCATTTAATAAATGAATAAATACTGCACCACTTAATTTACAACACAAATGAATATGATTGGCTTATAATTAAAAAAACTCCAAATGTGTACAATAATTAAAATTACAGGATCTTCTTTTTAAAAAACAAATTATGTTTGGAAAATTAATCCCAACACTGTTGCAGATTTCCCCACAAATCTGTTGCTCTTGAATGTTGCCTTGCTTTCACTCCTCTGTCCAGTTCATCACAAATCAACTCCATGGGGGTTAAGACTGGAGACTGTCCTGGTCGTGGTTTTCTGTCTGTCATTGCCTTTTCATGGTGTAGAAAACTGTACTCACTTACACCTTGACTTTCTCTGCAGTAAGTCAGTTGAGACATCACTTACTTCCGTTGCTGCAGAAAAGCTGTAAGATCGTAACCCATTACTTGATCCCTGAAAAAGCTGTTTTTATACCTCTGAAACTTATTGTTTTTCAGCTTTTATAACTTTTTTCTTTTCTTTTTTTACCTCTGGTTTGTCACTTAACTTTGAACTGTGTAACTTTGAACTGCTTAAATTTCAATTTTAAAAAAAGGGATGCTGTAAAACTTTTAACCAGTAGTGTCAAAAGATATTTTGAATAATAATTTGTTCTCGATATACTTGGTTATAAATTCTTAAAATGACACCTTCCTTCCCTCCTTTCTCAAAATCCAGAACCTGTGAATATACATTTACAAATTTAATGTTGAACATGTTCGGGGGTCCCGTATTAGATTTTATGGATAAACCTGCTGAGAGGATGTGAAGCAAAAGAGGCTGATGTCTTTTTGTTTGCGTGTTATTTGGGATCTTCTCATTATTTGTTTTTTTTTAAATAATAAAAAAGAAAAACAGGGACTTCTGATGTGTTTAGACTGCAGTACATTTGTTTCAAAGGTAAGTGGCTGAAATTTCAACATAAACATCTGTGATGGACCCATAATCAACTATGTAAAATGTTCCCTAAATATGATAAGATGAAATACTTTTGAGAAGTCTGCTATTTCTTGCTTTTGTAATTCATGAACTAATGGTACAGTCCCAGTAAAAACTCAGCAGTCACATAGTCTCCCTTTAAAGGGACAAATATAGTCAATAAAAGACATGATTAACATTTATTTAACTAATCACTCTTTATCATTCATAGTTATTTAGGACCTACCTTTGGTTTTCTAAACCCTGTCCAATACAGCCCCTCTGTGATTTATGTTAGTGTCCCCGACATGAACGTAATAGGTTGAAAAGAGTTAACATTCATCCCAGAATATAGGTCAGGTACATCTGCAGATCATGGTCAGGTCAACCATGCATATTGTGCATCGTACGAAATATGTTTCTATAATTAAATATAAAGATCTGAAATTTTTCAAAAGGTGAAACATTCTAAAAAAAAAAATACTCTGCAGTCCTGGAATATATTGCATGAAAAAGCTTTTTTATTACAAGAGAAATAGAAAAGATAAAAGCATTGTTGGCATCATATGGGCTTATCACAGCACAAAAGCACCACAGACACAAAAACCAATATGAAAATTGGAGAAAGAGACAGAAAGAATATGGAGTAATATAATCAGTCATGTAGAACCAGAAAGAAAACACCAGCAGCACTGAGAACAGAGCCACAATCACAGAGCGTCTATAAACAATGTACAGAGGGTCCATGAAGGCTTCATGGAGATTTTATAAAACCACAGAGCTCTATACAAAGTCAGGTGGGCACTGTATGTCCGAACGAGACATATTATAACCAAGACAAGACAGACACACATGAAATCCTCAAATACTTCCTCTCAGAGTGGCCAAACCTGTCTGTGGAACTAGTCGAAATTCTGGCGATAAAACCTCCAACACAGTAAACTCAACCGTTCAGTTTGTCCCAGAGGCTGGAGCAAACACTGAGAGAACGAATACTAAAAGATACTGGAGAATGTATCTGAAGAGTTTCTTTCCAAACTCAGATATCCACAGTGTGACAAATGTAACTCCCAGCCAGCTGTGACACTGAATATGTTGTGATGTTAAATTACCACTCCCTGCTAAGTAAAAAAAAAAAAAAAAAAAAACTGCAACCAAAGATTTGTGTTACCTCCTTTTTTTTTAATCTCCAGTGTTTTTATTGGTCAGATGTCTCAAAAAAATAAACAGATTTGGTTGAATTTTGGATGTTTTTGTAGATTAGATGATGAGATGATTTACTACAGTGAAATGCTGCATTCATATGCTGTTTGGTAAGTTATAAATGCATTTTTTCGTTATTGAGGAATGAATATTAAGTTAGTATAAGTAAGTAAATAAGTATATTTGACCTGTTCTGGGGGAGTCAGACAGCAGTGCAGACAGTCGCTCTTTTGTTAAGAATGTGCAGTTTTGTTCTACATATATTGTACAATATCATTTCTTACCTTTGCCCAAGAGGTAAAATGTTTTCAGTCCAATTATTTTTGCTTTGTTCTCAGTTTGTTTGTCTGCACGATATCTTTTAAGGGTGCAAAGTTTGGCCATGAAATGAGGAAGAAATTATTAGTTTTTGTTTTGGAAGTTTTGGAATCCGAATCGAGGTATGGGTCCAGAAAATTTTAAAATTACCTCTCAACACTGCAAGATAAGGCAGTTTCTTCCCCTTCCTCATTTTCTCATGAAATACTGCACCTATTTGAAAGAGAAAAAAATCCGACACATGAATCTAGTAAATTGTTTAACACAAAGAGTTTTGGTGCAAATCTAACTGCGAATTATGTGGGTTTTTCAACATAATTAGCGGGTTTTGCAGCTTTGGTGAAAGTATGCTTTCTAGTTCTTATTATAATCTATAAACACTTTTGCCGCCATAATATGTGCAGTGGTTTTATATCAAGTTTCTGACTGACTTAAAGCTGCTTTGGTTATTCTATAAATGTTACCCATATGTAAAGCTAGCAGAAAACTTTTGTGGCTGCTGCCCTACTTGGGTTGTGAATAAGCAAGTGAAGCCGTGTGGAGCGATGCCAGCATTAAAGAAAGCAGCTTCACAGCTATTTGATGGTTTTGGTTGCTGCAGACAGCACCCGAACAGCAGCTTTAGTGGTCGCTGAATGTGGCTTCATGGGCGTTTAAAGCCCAAATGATCCAAATCCTGAGAGACAGACAGCAGTGAAAAGATGTTGAACAGGAGCAGAGGTTTTAAAAAATAATTTGTTTGTACACCTATAAATACTAGATGGTTTGACCTTTTGGTCCTCAAGCCACATTTATCACACAACACAAGCTTGTCCGATATATCATGTGCCACCACATACAGTTTAACACTTAGAGAATACATACATATTCAAATGTATTTTTAACGTGTTCAAGGTACATGCGTTCACGTGTAAACATAGACTCAGCCGATTAGAGGCTTTGGATTCATGGGAGTCATATATTATAGGATACATACGAACCCACACACACACACGCGCGCGCACACACACACACGCACGCACGCACACACACACCTGAGATGCCTTAATATTGGGCCAGATTGTTCAACAATACTATAGCTTCAGTTTCCTTTCAAGTGTGAGACGTATATGGTAGTAGTGTGCTATCAGTTGCGGCAGTAGGTCAGTCTTCTGGCAGTGCTGAGTCAGACAGTGGTTTTCCCCCCTCTGAGGTTTAACCATGTAGCTTTGACAAACTCTATCAAATGGGTCCCATTCGTTTAGGATGGAGATGATGAAGATAATCAGCGAACACTATGAGTACATCAGAAGAAAATATAGATGAAGTCAACATATATCATACTTCATTGATAAATATATACTGTATAAATCGTACTGATGACATCGTCACTTACTAAACCTAATCACCAACAGTAAACTATTAGAATTCAGTAAATATTCTCCATAATCTACTGAGTAGAGCCTAGTAAAGGTGGAAGCACACAGGTAAAGTCTTCAAGACTGAAACCATGAATATCCGTATGTTCAACATAAAAAAAGATCATTCTACGGTCATGCTTGATTCGGAAAATCACAGTAAATCACTGACTGAAGCAACCACTGTTAAAACCATATAGTGTACTAAAGTGTTGATAGCACAACTAATAACAATAACAGTGATAATACTATCTAGAGCTCTGAATTGTAATAGTAAATTACTGATGTCGCAACCTCTTAAATATAATCAAACCACATGACGCCTTCTGTTAATGATGATGATGATGATGCTTTAAATAATGTCCTAAAACTAATTATGATAGTCAAGTCAGCTAATTGTAAACATTGTCTTCCTCTTGACAATAAGACAATGCCCTTCAATTCAGCTAAACACTGAATCTGGACGTGCACCACGAAGAGAGAAATCTCCAAGAATAGCTATTTAACCCCTGATAGTTGGAATGAAACTAAATTCCTGCAAAAATAAATAAATAAATACTGTAACATAAAACTTAAATGAACTGAGGTGGTAAAGACTAAAAAGCTGTGTCCCATTTCACAGGCTGCTTCCCTTGAAGTCCAGATTCATCACAACAGGCTGACAGGGCAGTTTTGGTGCAAAGTCTCCTCCAAATGCAGCCTTCTGTTTTTTTTGTTTTTTTGTTTGTTTGTTTGTTTTTTTGCCACAGCTTGGAATACACAACCGGTGTTTGCTTTGTCACTCTCAAGTGTCCTACAATCTATTGCATGCCGGTCAATTGCTTAATGGTGCGTTCAACTGTCCTCATCAACTCGTTAAATCAGGAAATATCACAATAACCACATCATATGTATGAGGTATTTCACTTCAGGTGGTCATGAGTCACTAAGCCAGTGCAGGATGTAAATAATAAATGGGGCGTAATTTCAGCTGCGGATGATTTACTCACTGAAATCTCTCTAAACACTCGTCCAGCTGCCGTAATCCAGAAACTCTGGATTGATAAAAACTGATACGCTCACCTGGCTCGCATTCAATTACTGTTGTGCATTCAGCGCTGTAACCTTTCCAAGCCGTAGCAGTGAGTTGTTGCTGAACAGTTTTGCCCTGGGCTTCACCTTACAGGCTAAATTGAGGTTGCCCTAACCCTCTGATTGGTGGAGGTTGTAGAGGCTGGACGAAGCCTTACAGGGATGGCAGCAGACGCTATTCAGGGCTGAAAAAGTACTGGCACCGTTTTTTAAAATGATTAATACGTCTTTATTTTGATTCACAGCTAAAATTCTCCTAAAAAGACCATCACTCAAAGATAATGCAGTGGAGGACCTTTTTTCTAAGAAGGCCAATCCAGCATTCCCCATCAATTAAACTTTAGTGATGTTGAGTAAGAAAAGTGCTTTAATAAAACAGAATTTCACATCCTTTTTTGTTGGTCTTCTGTTATTATGGAATGCATCATAGCCCTCTGAAACCAAACTTAATCCCATGAAATAATGGATGCCAGGCATAAACTTCACTTCTTTCTACAAGTCTGGGAATGATGGTAAACAGAGGCTGTTTGGATATGTGTCTTTATCACTAACCTGGTACACTGTTTCCCAGCTGTCCACCATGTGTTAAAGTAGAATTCAGGTATCTATCATCAAACATGCCCAAGTATTATCACTGTGAGGGCGGTTTCCTGGTGATAAAAATGAAAATATTTGACTTGATGAGTTGACGAGGACCGCTTGAATGCAGCATTTGTTTTGGTATCTGTGAGGTTGAACTGTATCATTTGGGGAAGAGGTACATGGTCACCCAACTAGCCTCCAAATGAGGCAGCCCCTGAATTTGAACACAGCTCACATCATCTCACTGAAGTCGCTCAAAAACAGGAGCTACTCCCTGTGAGGTCAGCGCTGATGTCATCTGGAGGTCTGGACCTGATTGGGTGGCTGGGCATAGAGGTACTTCCAGATGGCGTAGTAGTGTATGGCTGCTCCCATAGCAACAAAGAGGTGCCAAATGGCATGAGCGAATGGGACGATGCCATCACTTTTGAAGAAGACCATCCCCAGACAGTAGCAGGCTCCGCCCACCAGAAGCTCACACAGACCCGACTGCTCCGGCTGCGAAGAGGCAGAGCGTTTATTAGTCTTCAGTTGTAGCGACATGACAATGGAAACATGTCAGAACTACACACACTACAGTAGAAGAGCAGGCTCACCATTGAGAGGATGACCAGGGCAGGAAAAACTCCCATCACCGTGTAGCAGATTAACTCCATGACCTTGTACCTGATACAGAAGAATATTTAAGCACAGGTGTTCATTCTTGACCTAGGTGACAGTATGTGTAACAAAATAATCTCAGTTCAAGGGTCACTTACTAGCTTTTTCTGAGCTTTTAACCAAGTCTAAGTGTGGAATTTGGTCATGGGAGGTTCTTGTCTTTAGGATGTACCATTAGATATTTAACGTATTGAATGGTGTGTGTTAAGTTGCGACTCTTTGAGACATGAACGACTCTGTTAAGTTCTGCCACTTAAATGCATTTTAATGTGAATGGCAATTCAGGTTTACTTAACGTCCTCTATATACGTACTTCTTCTATACTTTTTGAAGTTACTAGACAACTCTTTTATTGTCAACGGCCATGTTCACACAACTTTTCCTATGCAACCTCACAAGGGCCAAAGTTTCCTGTCTTTTCACAATAAGAGCGCCAGCTTCCTCCTATACAAGATAACATGTACACTCTCATTCTCACTCTCTCTCTCTCAGGCAGTTATTCGGAGGCTGATTATAATGAAACCAGTGTGAAAATGTTGTAAGAATACTTGTGTATGAATGCATAAAACTAATCAAAGAGGTTTGGTAAAGAGGTGCAGAAGAAAAAAATCTTAAAATCATGTACATTTTTAAAGGGATAGTTGGGGTTATTTGACGTGCGCTTGTATGAGGTAGTCCTGCATAGTCGGTGTATTACCTGAAGTAGATTCAGATCAGCACGGTGCAATTTAGGAGACACGGCAGGAGGCCGCAGCAGCAGCCACCGCTCAGGTGCGTAAATCAGAAAGTGGCATAATGCAGTGCGCTCTGTGGGTGCACTTGCGCGTAGGTTAACTTAAACTTTAATAAGTCATCTCTGTTTACAGCCTCATGTTAACCTACATATATCTTTAGCATTTACACACATACAGATTTAAAGATTTTACATTTTGGTAAAAATAAATAATTTAAAAAATACTCTGGTCGGAACACAGTATCCATTAAACCCTGAGTCTGGATTTCAGAATCAGATTAGTCCATCCCTACACTTAGGTCATGTGATGAAGATCATGGTATGCAACTATAAGCTCAGAAAAAGCGAGTAAACGGGCCATTGAGTCGAGATTGTTTTGTCACACAGGAGGAATATTGATTAGATTAATAAATAAAGAGACAGTCTGATACTGATAAAAGTAAATGTTGGATGTTCGAGCTGACCTCTCATGGAAGAAGAAGACATAGGTGGTACCAAAAGAGGCCATGACCCACACCAGCCAGCGCATGTGGCACGCCCAGGGACCCAGTTCCCGCAGGTTCAGCCTAGTTAGGGATAAACAGGAAGACATGATGATGAATATATACACACTCTCCACACATATACACACACTCATACTTAGCAGGCTGGGTTGTTTACCAAGGGGCGTAGGAGGCAGCAATGAAGAAATAGATCACCATCCTGTCACACATGTGGAAACAGTGCTCCACAGACCTGAAGAGAGAGACCAAACAGCCTCATGACACCTGAGTGACACTGTTTATACATGTAGCATCAGTGTCTTTTACATCTCAAAAACAAATATGGAATGCAGGGATACACATTCGCTCCAGAGAAGGACAAACAGTTTCCAATAAAACCAACTAATCTGAAAGACTCACAGAAAAAGAAGTAGCTGTTTTTTCTGCGTCCTCTTCAACCATTTCACCATATTAATCTGCAATATTACAGTGCCATTAAAGTGTGTGTGTGCGTGTGCGTGTGTGTGTGTGTGTACCGTAAGTGGCTCTTCTTCCAGGCCACAGTGTGAAACAGGGTGGAGATGATGAAGAGCGAGCTGAGCCCCGCCCCGTACACCCAGGCCGACAACCGCTCCCATTGGTCCTCTGACTGGAAGTGCAACAACGAGCTGCCCAGCAGGCTGGGGATTATCCATAACTACATGAATTCATGATATAAATGAAACATGAGATACAGACAGGCAAATAAATAACTATGCCAGATAAACTGAAAGCATGTGTATGATGTACTGTATGTGTGGTCTGGAAAAAACCTGGTGGTGTCCGTGTCATTTGTCTGTTTAGTAATGATGCTGGATTTGTTTTTCAGAGTGTGTCAAATCATCTGTGTCAGGTTAATGATCACTTTCTGAGTAAGTGTGTGTGTGTGTGTGTGCGTGTATTCACCGCATGCGTGGCACAGTTGGCAGCATGCTCATATTCTGTGGGCTGGTATCTCTTGTTAGGAGGAACACGGTTGTTCATAAACCTGGAAATATCACAAATCAACAAATGCAATGTAACAAATGTATATTCAATGGCATCTTTATGATCTGTGGAGCAGCAACGATTAGTTGATTAATCGATCGGTCAATTGACGATAAATTAATATGCAACTGTTTTGATAATTGATTAATTGTTTTTAGGAATTTTTTTTCTGATATTTTTCAGACCGAACGATAAATCAACATAATAACTGACAAATGAATTGATAATGAAAATAATCTTATCAATCGTTGCAGCTACTGATCTGAACTAAAATCTATGACATTAGCTTTTTCTATATACAACAATAATACATAGGCAATGTACACACTAGCAAACCTGCAAATAAGAGTTAAAATTACAAAAGCTTTTTTACAGGAGTGTTATTTATTTCTCATTAAAAACAGCATTTGTGATGTGTGCTATTTAAAAAAAGAAATCTATTTTAATCAATGTTTTTCTTCTTCTTAATGTCCTAAAAACATGTTGAACATCTTAAATATTTGTATCCATTTGTATCTCAGTGGTGCTCACAAAATTTCACCCCACCCTGTCCTTTTGCTTAGCAACACTAGATCATGCTTCAACTTGTTGCCATGGCTGCTGTTGCCTGGCAACAGTGGGTAACCACGGACCGACTGAACCAGAGGTTTTGTCCTGATGATCTCTTTCATAAACGATTCACGTGTACAGATACGCCTGCATGTTCACACTCACACACACACACACACACACACACACACACACACACACACTCATATATATGTAAACTTAGATCTATTCTTTCGAACAGGAAGACTTTGCACAGAAACCCAAACAAACACAGATCAGGAGGTAGCACTCCATTAGTGATGTCACTGTTGTCATGGAAACCATTGAGCAGGGATACCACACCAGAAAACTCCTGGTTTCTTTCATCTTTCTTTCCTCATCTCTTCCATCTCCCTCTCCTGTTCCCCGGCCCTGTCTCCTCTCTGCCTCCCGATGATTAAATTAACATGCAGGACGGCAAATGGACAAAGATGTACATGCACACACACACACACACACAAACACACACACACTCATAAACCACAACCCCTCCCTATTTTTATGCTGCATCTTGCAGAGCCAGATTTCATAAGAGACCTAGATTTAGCGATGTCTCTGTCTCTTCCTCACTCACACACACACACACACACACACACACACACACACACACACACACACACACACACACACACACACACACACACACACACACATTGTTCTAAGATCAGAGGGGCTCAAAATAAGAAAGAGGCTCCCTTCAGAGGAAATACCACTCAAATTAAAAATTCATACGGTCAGTACGGTCAGTTAGCTTTTCTAAACTTGAGGATGCCCTTTGCCAATGTTAGAAACACCTAATTTATCTGAACTATACATCTATGGAGCTGTGCATGTATGTGCCATCTCATTAGGGAAAAAAAACCAAACATTCAGAGGCTGTCAAATTGACAGCTGGATGTTCACATATGCACACAGCCTGCAGCATTTCACAAAATCAGATGTTTCAGTATCAGCAGTTATATTACCCTTAAATCTAACTGTGCTATATCTCGACGTTGTTGTGCAACAGTGTGGAACATGATGTATTCCTCCTACACTTTAGCTGTTTCAAATCTTCCTTGTTTTCAAAAGTAAAACTACGTGACACTACTGATCCCACACAGACAGGTACAGGAGATAAAACTCAAGAAGAGGTGAGAACAGATAGAAAATCCACCTCACATAATGACAATAATGCGACAGGGATCTTAACAACCACGGCTCATCCTTTCCTTTCCCTCTCTCTCCTCCAGTGTGCTCCCTTTCCTTAAGCAGCTGTTTTCAAAGTGACGCTCGTTCAGAGCTATTAATACTAACTGACCCAGCCCAGAAACACACCGTCCTGTCCCCAATAACAGGCTTCCTCGCCCTGTATCCAGCGCTGGCCTCACACTGTCTGACTGACTCTCTCTTTGGTGTGTGTGTCAGCGCCAGGCCCAGCAGGCTTGGCCGGGTCATTAATGACTTTATCAAGCTGGCTGATAATTACCAGGCCAGAGGCCAGGCAGAGAGACACAGAGAGAAGTGGACAGAGAGGAGCGGAGCTGTGGAAACGTCACGATAACTCCTACAACAACAGCAGGACGGGCAGAAGGAAGTCTCTCTGCTTCAGCTGTCTCGCTGAACCATGAAGACCACAACCTCAGTCCAGTTAATGGTCAACATGAATTAATATTAAAGCTGGTTTTATGGCCACGCAAGTTCTGCTCTGTGTGCAAGTACAGCAAGTACAAATACGGTGATGGACAGTACTTGTGAGAATGTAAAAGAAAAAGCCAAACATTTGGTTTTCTCTCTCTTATATCACAACAAACATAAATATATTTGGGTTATAGATAGTTGGTCAGACAAAATATGCAATTTGAAGATGTCGCCTTGTGCTCCCGGACACTGTGGCAGACATTTTAATCGGATAATTAATAAAAAAAATCAACAGTGGAAATACTCGTTAGCTGTAGCCCTGTATTCTCGTGGACTCTCAACAGGAGGTATGTAAAAACTATTATTTTCATCGCTGATTAATCTATGAGGAAATGTCAATAAAAGAGCAAAAAAATATCCATCACAAGTTTGAACAAGCCTTGTTTGGTCTGACCGACACTCCAAAAGCCCAAAATATTACATTATAAATTATATGAACTGCAGGAAAAGCAGCAGCTCTTCACATCTGAAAAAACTTGAAGCAAAGAATATCTGACATTTGTTGCTGATTAATTATCTGTTGATTAACTACTCATCATTAATTGTTTTGGCTCCAATGTAAAGCTGTGAACAATATTAGGACAGCCGCTCAAACAAAGGAAATGTTTTCATATTTTTTGCAACAAAGTAATAAACAAAATCACCTGCCAACTTCTTGATTTATTCGCTTTTATTACTGGACGGGTTCAAAAACTGGAAGCCGTCCTGCAGGACAACTCATATCACGTCAAGTAAAACTGTACTGTGATAATTTGGCCACAGCCTCAGTCTCTACTGTAGCATGACAACACACTGAGCTCACACTCTCCACACATGCAACGCTTTCTGATTTTATGTAGCAGTTGGGGGGGGGGGGCTTTTCGCTTGTGGACAGCAGAAAATATTTGGGTATAAAAGGGTTTTGCTCCAGGATTGAAACAACAACAATTTTGATCATCACTTAATTGTTTCAGTCATTTTTTAGACGCAAAAATCCTAAAAACAAATATGATGGTTACAGCCTCTAAAACGTAAAGATTTGTTGCTTTTATATCAGTATAACCTGAATATCTTTAGGTTTCTGAGCTATTGGTGAGAAAAACAAAACAAAATCTTGTTGGACTTGTGATGGACATCATGTACTATGTTCTGACAGTTATCAGTAGATGAACTGATATGAAAATAAGAGTCGCTTGTGGTCTTAGATTGCTCTGTTTGACCTCTTCCTGCTGCGAAACCCACCCAACGCCACCGGGACAACCTCAACCTGTAGACCCAACTGGCTTTCGTGTGTAAGTCCAAAGATGTACAGTAAGTCAAAGACACTGAGGGCAATGAGGATGTGTGTTTGTGAGGCCTTCTGTGTCTCAGAAAGGACAGAAAGAGAGGAAGCTGAAGAGACAGCAAGATGATGATGATGATGATGATGAGGAGGAGGAGGAGGAGGAGGAGGGAAGTGGCAGGTTTGTGTATAAACCCAAATAAACCCTGGACTACAAGATTATTACATCACTAGTTCATAAATACGTTGAAATAAATTTACTTAAAAGAAAAAAAAGAAAAAGAAAAAAAAAGATCATTCAGTCAAGATCATTCATTTTTTTTTAAAGATCATTCCCAAACCCTCTCAGCATCCTCCTCCTCTTCCTCATCATCATCACCATCATTAACATCACTATCAGGCAGCGAGATGAGACATGTTTCCGTTTCTGTGCGGTGTGTGACTCTTCATCATGTTGTCAGCGGGGTGAAACGATGAGAAATAACACGACCTACCTTACAAGATTCATTTACAGTGGAAATAAGCAACAGTTGACAGCAGACAGACAGTACGGCTAAAGCCTGAATCCCCCCTCTCTTGAGTGTTGAGCGAACAAGCGTCGCGGTCTGATCAGTTCTGCTCGGGTTGTAACGGGCACATCTAACGCAACGTCACGGGCATCGCCGCTTCACCGGGAAGACGTCGTCGTCGTCTTATCCTCATCTCAAGCAGCACCGGGAGACGGACGCATCCCGACCCAGCTGCCTCCAGAGGATCCAGTCCGGAAGTGTGGGCGTGCGGGGACGGTCTCTGAGGAAGCAGCCGGTTTTCCTGCACGGTCGGTGGTGGTCTCCCTCTCTCTCTCTCTCTCTCTCTCTCTCTCTCTCTCTCTCTCTCTCTCTCTCTCTCTCTCTCTCTCTCTCTCTCTCTCTCTCTCTCTCTCTCTCTCTCTCTCTCTCTCTCTCTCTCTCTCTCTCTCTCTCTCTCTCTCTCTCTCTCTCTCTCTCTCTCTCTGTGCCGGTTCACCTCATCACGACTCGGTGAGGAGGGTTGTTTTTACCACTGAGGGCTGCCACATCATTTTCTGAGGGACTGGCTCATGATGACTGGGGAGATTCGTGCCGATATGCGCCTGCATGTGCAGCCCCCGGTTCTGCCTCTAGGTGGAGATGGAGGCTGATGATATAATACGATGACGATGGTTGTGCGTTTTTATTATCGTGTCAAGCAAAATTCGATATTTAAGGAGCAGAAGTCCCTGCTCAGATGACTGATTCTACTTAAAAAAAAAATATATATATATATAATATATCCTGTAACCAGGACTTGGTGAAGACACATTAAATCTTCTGATTATATAAAAAAAAAATGCCCATCTCAATTTCCCAGAGCCAAGGTATTGACTTCAACTTGCTTGTTTTGTTCAACAAACAGATATTCAATTAACAGTGATGTAAAAGTGAGAAAAAACAGCTGGGTGGATGTAAATATTATACAAATAAAACAGTTAATCGACCAAAATAGTTGTAATTTTCTCTTCTGGGCCAACATTGACCTTGGTCCTCAGCCCGACTCTGGCCCTTATACTTCCACATCTGAGCAGTGTCCGGCTGTTATTCGCCAGTATTGACTGACAGCCGGAAGACTGTGGTCCAGATGTGGAGGTAGCATCTTAAAATCATGCTGTATATTGGCCAGATTCAGGCCGTGGAATCAGGCGTGTACTGAGCCAGAAGAAAACAAGCATGCCAAGTATGTATAGTTTCAGCTGTTGAATCTTTCTTCTCATGTTATTCATTCATTTAACTGTTTGTTTCCCACAAATGTTGTTGTCTTACAGTCGGTCTAAATGCTGTTTTAAAGTTTCCTTCACAATAACAGATATATATATTTCTATTAGACAAATACTGAATCCATTACTTTTTGCCAAACAGTAACATTTAAAGAAAAGAAAAAAATCCAAACACATCCACACACACACACACACCTGCAATGAACAAAGCTTTGTTGAGTACTGTAACAGCAATCATTTATTAAATGCATATTATGACCAGCATAAGCTTTAAACAAGTACTGCAGCATTTCATCCTGATTAATATAAAATTCCTGCTTTAAGCGTTCAGCTCAGACTGAACTGTCTGTGACTATACTGATCGAACTCGTGAAGTACCGTTTGCAGACCTGTGGTCAGTCCCTCTGTGTACAGTGTTGACTTTAACAAGCTCAGCAAAGAGCTTCAGAGGGATTACAAACACTGTTTGCCCCGAGTCTGATCGTTTAACCTGTATATAAAAAAAATACCTGATTAAAATATGGCCGAGAAGCTTTGTGTGATAAGGCAGCGGTGTTCATATCTCCAGAAGCTACTATACTTTGGGCGGTTTAACGTTAACTTCAGTTCAGACTATCTTCAAGTTCTTCATTGAGGACTCCAGAGTCTGAAAGAGGAAAGTGAAACACTCAAAAACATGTCTGCATTATGACTGACATCATGTAAACAAGAAATAAGATCTGACTGCACCAATCTATCATGTTCTGTTTGCAATGTGTTAATTACCTTGACATCCCAGATGCCCATTCCTCCATCCATGCCAGTGGTGCAGAACTTGGTGCACTGGTTTCTTCCTCCTTCCAGCACCGAGATTTGGCTGAAATACAGTGTGAGACAAGTCAAACTCTGTGTACAAACAGAAAGCAGCTTATTTTAACATAGGTGATGATGACTATGCATACCCTCAAATTAAAAAATAATGTTAGGTAAACATCAGTGGGCACACAAAGCTTTTGAATATTTCAATATTTCTGTGTAAGAGTTGTTGTTTTTTTGTTTTGTTTTTTAACAGAATCTTTGAGAAAACTGCGCAGACTGTGAAATTAAAAAAGCTCTGTCAGTGCTTTCCTCAAAGAGGGAAATTGTAGCATTTCACTACACGGTCTTATTTTATTTTCATTTTGACGTCACACACTTACTTTACTAAGATTCTGTGTGTTAAATATTTAGACATTAAAAATTGTTGTTGTTGTTGTTAACCTCCAGCAGTCTTCTCATAAGTGCAAATAAGACTGCAATAGAAATGCTTTTAGAAACAATAAACTGTATACTCATCACTTGAATCTTGATTTCCCTTGTCTGTCTCCCTGTACGCCACCTAAATCTTTCAGTCCGCACTCAACACGTTTGTTTCCCCTCCTCACCTGATGCTGTTCTTGTGCAGGGTGTTCAGCTCCTTGTCGGTGCTCTGGGTCTCTGAGGCCCGGCGGTCCAGGTTCTGGAAACGTTCCCTGGCACTGATGCCCTTCTGGGCCGCCTGCTTAGGGACGTCCAGCTTGCCACCAAATGTCAAGCTGCCCTTGGCACCGTCGTACACAAACAGCACCGGGTAACAGTCATGGCCCTGGAGGAGCACAGATACACATGAGGATGCAAACAGGTGGAGCTGGAAAAGTATGTCGGCATGAGACCAGAGACTTTGTGATTTTAGCTGTGGGATTGATATTTATATATATATATATATATATATATATACATATATATAACAATAAAAGCTCAAAACCACTATGTGTAGAATCTTTTATTTTGATGGTAGCAATTAGTAAGCAAACTCAAGAACGATAGAGATACAGCTGCTGTGTGATTCACATTACTGACACTACATGCTGACTTTAAGACTTCTAATATAAATACACAACATTTTACCATGTAACACATTAACATTGCACAGATTTCATCTTTTTTTCTGCTCGTGGAACCAGAAGCAAAGAAAAAACATGCCCCATTGATAATGTATTTCTCTTATCTGAAAGTCTTTCTTGTGGCATTTTTGCCTTCTTTAGATAGAATACTAAACAGCTGGTTGAATATAAGGGAGGGAGAGTGATGGAGGGATTACACACCACAAATAGACATGATCCAGGGACATTGCGATCATATGGATGGCAACTTTAACCTCCTCAAATGAGCCCCATTGATGTCTTCAAGCAACTGACTCAATTTGCCATCATCCTGTAATTGGCACTTGTGGCCACAGTGGCCACTGTTCAGCACCGACTCTCACTTTAAATGGTAAATTTATGAATCTGACTGTTGTTGTCATTTAAAAAGAATACTGAACTTCCACAGGTTAAGATAGTGAAATAAAATGAACGCTAAATAAATATGGAAAAATAAAATAAATAAGACACTTTGGCTAATGACACACCAATAACGTGTTGAATAAAGTCCAGACTGTTCCCTTTTACATTTGTTTCTTTTGATCATTTGATTTGTCAACATTGTAGCACCCGAATCGAGGAGACAGACACACAAATAGAGTAAACGTGAGAAGAATAAAAGGAACTGAATCATAAACTGAAGGTGAATGCGTTCAGAATAAACACTGGATGTGTATTGAATACTCACGGCGGCCACTAAGCTGTTCTCAGTAATGAAGGTGACACACAGAAGAGGAAGTGTCTCAGAGCTCAGACTGTTCACCCTGTGGAAGTCAAAACAAAGGTCAGCGTGCACAAACACACATGAACACACAGAGACACACACAGGTATGCGGCCCCGCCCTCTCTTACGTGCCGGTCTTGCCTCCCTCTGCCACAGACACAGTGGAGTCATGGGAGGTCCAGGCCAGGCGGTTGCCAGAGTGTGAGAAGCACACGCTGTGCACCCAACCGCCGCCTCCTCCTGAACTCTGATCTGCAGCTCCAGACCCTCCAGATTCAAACAGCATCTCCCCGAACGGCATCTTGCTGCCCCAGGGAGTGGGGCCAGGCTTTTCCTCCACCTCCTTAATGTAGGCTGAAAACACCCTGTAAGCGAGAGGGAGACATGAGTTAGTGTAACTGTTATTGTTCATGGCCGAGAAGTTTATTAGGTTTATAATAACTTATTCTGCTTTATCTGTATGTTGAGTGTTGTATGAGTGAGTTACTGTTTCATTGTTCTTGTGAAAATCAATTTAAAAACTTTATAAATTATGATATTTCTGTGGGATGAGGCTTCACTTCATCAAGATGCTTTAGTCTGGGGTTACGGTTGGATTTAAGATTTTAGATTTGAATGAGGCCGGGCATGAGTTTAGTTTATGTTCATGTTTATATTCAGTTTATATTTGGTTTCTAGAGTTGCAGCTGGTGGCTATTGAGTGTACATATACAAGCACGGGACACAATTTAACCTTTGAGCCTCGATTTAAATAATATCTCCACAAAGAAAAAAAACTTTATCAACAAAAAAACAGAGAGGAATGAAAGAGGCAGGAGTAACGCATCTGTTTTGATACCTGCATTTGAAGTCACAGGATCCAGCAGCCAGAAGGACATTGTTGGGATGCCAGTCCAGGCTGAGGATGGTGGAGCGGATTGGCTTCTTGATGTGCTTACACACCCACCTGTAAGGAACCACACAGCATGTTAGAAACGCCCAAACTGCAGTTCATAATGATTAAATGCAGCATAAACTAGGGAGAGGAGGCCATCCTCTAAAACCTCACCAGTCGTTCTCCTGCTCAAAGTAACAGATGGAGATCAGGCGAGAGCCGCTGCCTACAGCAAACTTGTTCTCCTTCGGTGACCACTTCACACAGCGAGCAGCGCGATTGATCCTGAGGATGACCAGGGTGGGCTTCCAGGTGCCCTCTTTAAGGGTCCACACGTAGGCGTTACGGTCCGCTCCACAAGTAACTATACGGTTACTGTCTGGAGCCCAGTCAATACCTGCAGGAGAGAGAAGCTCTTATTGATGTTTCATCTTTGTACATACATCATGAAATATATATATATATATATATATATATATATAGACAGAAGTGCAAGTGTGTGGTGACAGTGTCCATTTTAATTAACTTAGCTTAGCATACAGCTAACCAGTGGCAACTCCAGGAAGACACTGAAATAACTCAGCACATAAACCACCAGCTCATTAAACCACAACTTGGTGTTTTTCAGCTTTGATTTTTGTCCCATTCAAACAATCAAGGTATAGCATGTTTATGGAAGAGCTTTTGATGTGCTGGTAGGTGGATTTTATTAAATTTGGTAAAGCTAGGCTAGCTGTTTCCCTGTTTCCAGTCTTTGTGCTAAGATAAGCTGCTGGTAATAGCTTCATATTCAAATACAGACATGAGAGCGGTATTGATCCTCTAATGTAACTCTCAACAAGAATTTCCAATAAAAACTCATTAAAAAACTATACTGTGTGTTTGTGTGTGTGTGTGTGTGTGTGTGTGTGTATGTGTGTGTGTGTGTGTGTGTGAGAATGGCATGTCTAAATATAGTCAGTCAACTGTTAAATGTTTTAAATCCTCATCCTTGTTTATTAGGTTCAGTTGGACAGAAAAGTTGCATTTTTTGCAACTTGTATTTGTTTGTTGGAGGTTAATATAAAACTTAAGACAGTAAATCACTCTTTGTGTGAGTGTGCCTCACCTGTCACCTGCCCGTTATGCTCCTTCAGCTCATGAATCTTGGTCCACTTGGTCCCATCTTTCTTGTAGATGTGGACGTCATGGTTGTTGGGGCAAAGGGCGATCTCTGCAGCACAAAAACACATTCAAATACACTGTACATCAACAGAGAGAGCAGTGCAAATTAGTTCGACACATAAAGAGGAAATTCCCCAGTGTGAGGACAAAGTACAGTGTGACTGACAGGAGACGTTTATGATGGGACGATCAGTGGAGTGTGACACAGAACAGCTGACTTGGTGCATGAGAACAGAGAAAACTGGAGAAATACAGAATGTATCTGCCCGCAGGCAGCTCACAGACACATGGTATCTTTAAATAGATAAATGTGCAAGAACTGCGACCTTCCTTCCCATAATGTTGTAGCAAACCCTGCGCTGGTTGTAGTCAGCAGATGAGTCAGAAGCAGCGTTTCTCTGAGAGCAGCAGTGTGGGTGCTTTGGTGTGCAGTTTTGTTTTTTGCTTTTTGAGTGCACATCCAGGAATATGAACCAACTAAAGTGTTCCGCTGAGAGTGGAGTGAAACTACAACTGTGCGAGTGTATGACTCGACCACAGCCGCATCCTACATCCGTTTTGCCCAGTAACCAAAGCGGTGATCAAAACAGCCAAATATGGCATTAGTTTCCTGCAGCTAATGGAGCACAAGAGCCTCTCAGAAAGGCCCCCAGGCGCCACCCTCACTGTTACAGGAAACAGGAAATACCTTCTCCCACCTGGGAGCCAATCACAACCCTCTCTGTCTCTTACACCAGTTGTTCTTTGGCGCAGATACTAGTTGGAGCAAGATGTTCCATGATGTCTGTGTTGAAAACAGTGTGCAGTTTAGAGATGAGACCACTCGAAGACACTGAAGTACAAGCCCCGAGTGACCAATCAGAGAAGGCGAGCAGACTTACGGGTCCGATCTTTGTTCCAGGCATGGCAGCTAATTGGTTCCAGCAGGAAACTATGGTACGCCATGGCCAATCAGATGTTAGAAACAGACCAGGAAGTGGGGCGCAGAGAACAGTCAAGTCTAGAAAAACAGAAGTCACAATATTCTCTTTACCATGAAGAAGTGAAAAGAGAAAGAAAACCGTTAGAAGCTGTGATGAAATTTACACAGTTGTTTTTTTAAGATTCAGTCAGAGTTGGTCCAGACTACTTGAGGGAACTTTTGAGGGGTAAAACCCACCATCAGCTGACTTTAACTCTGTGAGCACACAACACTGAGCTTATCTCACTCAGGTTGTGTTAATGAAATCCAGACTTTCAGAAACACGAGAGGAATGATGCAGGTCAAGGGTAACACACATCCCCCAAACAAACTTCACCCTCCACAGTGAGAGCACACAACCAGGAAATCAGTTCACACAGATCCATCACAGTCAGTTACTTCACAAAAACTAATTAGAAAACTAATTTCACATAATAACCTCCACGTTTCTGTGCTCTGAGTGAGCGTGAGGGCAGCAGGAGTGCCTGTTGCACACTTCCTACATTTTCCTAAAAATGCATTACACTTACAAAGTGTGTGTGTGTGTGTGTGTGTGTGTGTGTGTGTGTGTGTGTGTGTGTGTGTGTGTGTGCGTGTGTGTGAGAATGACATGTCTAAACATACTCAGTCAACTGTTAAATATTTTCTAGGCTACTTACCCCGAGGGCAGGACAGAGATGAATGGGTGAAGAGCTGCAGAGATGGACAGAGAGGGAGAGAAAGAAGAGAGAGAGGCAGAGGAAGCTGGCGGATCAAATAAAGACGAGGGTACTCAGCTCGCGGACTCTGGCCAGTCAACGCGAACGCCAACGACAGAGTGAGCTCAGGAAGAGAGAAGCTGAGCCGAAGAGAGGGAGGAGAGGTCAGAGGGGGAAGTGGAGGAGGGTACAGTGAAGCTCTGAAGGGGAGACATACAGGAAGTTAATTCAGACTTATGCTCAGGGTGGAAAAGATCACGGGTGCCACCTCCTTAAAATGTAAGAGACTGAGATCAAACTTTTAATTCTTTAAAAGGAACAGGAGGGGAAAAAGGAAGTTTTGCCTCAGTAAAACTAGGAAGGGAGGGAGGAACAGAAGCACAATACAATGTTCTGCAAAAAAAAAGGAGGAGGTAAACTGAGGGGGGAGGCAAAAAAAAAAAAACTTATGAAGCATGAAAGACAGAAAAGAAAGGGGAGGGACACATAGTCACTTCTGCATAAAGAAAGAGGAAGAAGGAAAAGGGGAGGGAAGAAATGTAAACTGCAAAATAGGGTGGGGGGAGGAGGGGGTTGGCGTCAGGTAGAAAGAAGTGGTTGACTACATTTCCTTATTTTAAGCAGTTTGGATATCCCAACTCAAAGCTTTCAAGCTTTTACAGAAACACGCGCTTCACATTTTCTTATTCAATTTAACCTCAGCAGTGGATGTTGTCTTAGGTAAGACGTGTGTAGTCTAGAGTTTCTTACATTACTCATTATTTCCAGGCGGGGGTTAAAAGGAAGATTATAGAAGTGGCAACCTCAGTGAAAACCTAATAAACTAGTGTTTAAATCTAAATTCCATTTCATGTCAGAGGACATGTGAAGGACTGTTTTTACAAGGTTTATTTTCTCTTTGGAACTTCAGTAGCAGATTATAAAAAGCTACGATGGACTTGAGAGGCCTTGATTTAATACACCCCCACTCACTGTGTTATTTCATTTTATTCTTCTTCATTTTTCTGTTAGGAAACCAGAGTGGACCTGGCAGGAGTCTGACTTTATATTTATTAACATGTATATCTGAGAAGAAAATACATTTAATAATATTAGAGGCCTTAATTACGTGCATTTGCCTGTTAACATTTGCAATATTACCATTGTAATGTATAAATTAACAGTATGCACTACCCCTGGTGACCTACTTGCTGTTAATTTTATAAATTTTTGTTATCATGTTTACTTCCGACCCTACTTATAAATATATATATATAATCCTGACTCCTTACCCTTGTCAGTTAAAGAAAACCACTACAGGGTTTCTTCTTCAGCTACGTCCTTGTATGCGCATGTTAAGCGACTCCGTAATTGCACACTGCACAATAAGGTCTATGAAGTCATTTTAAATTGCTGTTAAAGGTTACTGTGTTCAGTTTTAACCACTTGTATTTCATTTGTCCCTGTTTGGTTTTTGTATTTTTCTGCTTAACAGTACCATGCAAAGTAAATGTGGTATTAACTCACTCAGAGGCAGGGAAGCAGAGAACCGCATGTGCGTAAACATGGATGTAAACATACATGAAAATATCTTTTAAATGGCTTTTCGAAGGTTTTCATGACAAACACACAGCACGTTTTTCTGAGAAACACTGAATATAAACATCAACTTTCTTCGCTTACAAGAAAACTCCTCAGGGCACCTTTAGTAACTGCCCTAATTGTTTAAGTCATTTGCATCTTCAAACCGTTCTAGCCGAGATACTTCATCTGGGGGCTGGAACACCCGAGCAGAATACGGCTCACAAATTCCCACATATTACATCCACTCCAGGTGTCTAGTTACCATCCGCCCACTGTGTCAGAGAGGCAAACACAAAGGAAGAGAGCAGTCGAGTGAGTTGTGTACTGTAAATGTATTTCATCTTTATTTCATGTCTACCTCATGATCAGTTACATAGAAATCCTCCATCTCGTGTGGTTTTAGTGTAGTAGCTGCAGAGCCTAGTGCTGCCCAGCCGTGACTCTGCACAGAGTTTAGACAGCTGCTTTCTCTCTCCACCATCAGATCCTGTACAGCTCTCTACAGCCCAACCAGCAACATGACCTCAGAATATCAATAGCCGGGTTCTTATCCAAACGATGACTTCACCTACTGGAGAAGATTTACTATCCACCAGGAAGTAAACAGTCACGCCCTCCGATCTATTAAACGCTGATATTAAGAGATCACGTCGAGGTTAATCTGAGGTGAAATACAGTCTGATTTTTGGATAAAACGCACCTTTTAGTGTTCAACTTTTGGTACAGGAGGTTAGAGAACATAAAAACACACATTTCACGTCACGTTTAATACGTGTCAGAGGACCTTCCCACTTTGACACCTGGTTAACCTTCATTTAAAAACAAACAAACAAACAAACAAAAAATTAACAGTGATGTCACACGTCAGCTCAGTGTGTGTGTAGTGTAGTGTAATGTAGTGTAGTGTAGTGTAGTGTATGCTTGTTCATGTGTTGTAGTGTGCGAGTGTGTGTAAGAGTGTAAGCACACACCCACAAGAGTGTGTTATGGTCTGATCAGTGCTTCAGCAGACACTCGATAAGGTGGTCAGTTATGTATGTTACTGGCTGCGTCGCAGGAGAGGGGGGGAGGGGGGTGGAGGTGGAAAGGGGAAGGAGGGGTGAGGACTGTGAGGGCGAGGGGAGAGAAGTGAGGCCGCAGCGTCTCTTCATTCATTCACAAGATTTCTTCACATGATGCGGAGACCCTGGATAGAAGCTTCTAGACTCTGAGGAGGTAAACGCAGAAAAATACAAGGGAGTTAGAGCTGAGAGATCTGGGAAAACAAAGCTCTAGAGAAGACAGCTCATGTGTGCATTTACCTTGAAGTCCCAAATGGTCATTGCTCCATCGATGCCTGTGGTGCAGAACTTGCGACAATCCCTTTTGTCTCCCTCATAGATAGACACTTGGCTAAGGAACAAAAACGTAGAAACATATTGAAAAGTTTTAAAGAGGTGATAAAATTGAAAAGCATAATGATGCATTTCCCTATATTGCCACGATGAGAAGGTGATGTAAGGACGAAGAAGTGGTCCTTAATGGAAAGTATTAGCTATTTGCTGACAGGTAGATGCTGGTTGCCGAGCCAACCTCAGTGATGAAAAGCCTCCAGGAAGTCACAGGGCATGACCAATAAATAAAACAGCACACAAGCTGTCATAAACCCACATCGAGATATAACATGTAAATTAACGAGCTTTACACCGTGTCTACACAGGAAGCGCAGCATGAGCAGCATGTTAGCAGAGCACCTGCAGCTTCAGTGCTTCAGGCACAGTATTTAGTTGTAGGTCACCCACACTGTGACAGCGCCCAGAGCCCGAGAAGAAAATAGAAGAACATAAACTTGAAGCGTAAAAATATGCTTCAGTCTGCGTTTATGAACATGTAGCATGAATAAAACACGTAAAGTGTGAACAACTGGACTGATCAAAACAGTGAACCTGTTCCGTCACAGGCGTGTAACATAGTGACTGAAAAACATGGCTGAAACGCTTTCTGTGTGGACATGTCATTACAAGTGCTGGGAGGTGGATTTTGTCACCTTTGGAGATCACCAGCTGTTCCCCACTGGTTCCAATCTTTAGGCTAAGCTAACGAGCTGCTAACTGTAGCTTTGGACATGAAAGGGATATTGGTCTCCTCAATGTCTTGCTGAAAAAGTGATTAATCTTATTTTCCAAAATATTAAAAAATTAAAAAAAAATACTACCAAGACTACAGCCACAATAATGGCAATAAAGTTGACTTATTTCATATTTTTCCATTATGAATTTAATTTTGCTTGTTGTGGACATCCAGTAGAAGCCTATACCAAAAATTTCTATGTCCACATTTGTAGAAAATTGTAATGGTTCAAAAGTCCTTCCATTTGCTATGTACACAAAGCTTAAACATCACCATTCAACTCTATACTGTGATCACACATTCTGACTAAATTGGAAAAGAAATAAACCAACCGTGAAATTCAAATCAAAATCTTAAAATGCCTACATTCTGCAAGCATCTAAACGTTAAATAAAAACTTTAAAAAAAAACTTAAAAATGAGCCTTAAAATGAATTCCTGCCATTCTTGATGGCGTGTGACCTACGTGATGCTGTTCTGGTGCAGTGTGTCCAGGGCAGTGTTGCGGTCCTCGGTGGTGGCTCTCTTGTCCATGTTCCTGAAGCGCTCCATGGCAGAGATGTTCCTCTGGATACTCTGCTTGGGGAGGTCGAGCTTTGACACAAATGTCAGCGTTCCACCGTCGTCGCAACGGAACAGCATGGGGCAACAGTCGTGGCCCTGATGGCAGAGACGACACATTTAAAGTGGAAACTCTTCTTTACATTTGAGCATTAAAATATATTGACAGTGCACACTGAACGTGTTATTCTTACCGCAGCTACTAGACTGTTCTCTGAAACAAAAATGACACTGAGGAGAGGAAGGTACTCCGTCTTCAGCTGTGAGGGACTTAACACAAACACACAAATTAACTAAAGATTTAACAGGCAGCATACTACCAACGCATTCAAAACCGTTGTGCTGTTATAGAAATTAGGACGATTTTATGACAAAAAAAACAAAATAAAAAGGCACTCTGCTTTGAGTGCTGCAGTGTGTGCATGTTTCCAGCCAGAACATGTTGAAATCTTTGCTCAGGGTCAATCACCGCCTCCTCAGTTCATGTCACCTGCAATTTGCTGTCAACAGCCCATCATTATGAAGTCTAGCCTTGGATGTGGTTCACCTAGTGTCTACCTTTCTCACAGTTTTGGCACACTCAACGGATGATCAGATTATAAATCATGGCTTCAGTACAGTAGCCAATAATATGCTAGATAAAGATAGATTCCTCCTGTAGTGAACGAAATAACAAATAATCTAGTGAATAGTTTGCTTTTTTAATGTGATGGATTGCTTTTTGATGAAAGCGTGGGAGAATTGAACTCTTTACTCTTTTTTTTGGATACACCTCAACTCATCTGTTACTGGAAAAGAGTAATCTTTGTATTTTATCTCCTTTCCTGTTGTTAGTGGCTTTGAGAACAAAAGGCATCCTTCATTACAACACCAGTTTGGTATGGACAGATACAGACAGTGAAACTACTGGTATCTAACAACAAAACAACTTAATGTGTAATATAATTTCTGACTTATGTTTTTTATTTTAGGATTCAAATTATTTCTAGATTAATTGTGATAATTAATCTGAGAATAACTGTAACCAAGCTGTAAATGAGTCCCTATATAAATGGAAAAAAATATACCTGGCAGTCTTAGAGCTGTCCACCACAGTGACAGTGCTGTCATGGCTGACCCAGGCCAGGCGGTTACCAGAGGCTGAGAAAGAGACAGAGTGGACCCAACCCCCTCCACCTAACAAACACAATGTGCAAAAAAAAAAAAGGCAGATCTGGTTTAGTTTAAAGTGTTGCTGCAAGTCATATGCAAGAGGATTTTTACTATACATATGAAGACAGAGATACAGACCTGCTCCTCCGAATTCTGCTAGCACAGCCCCAAATGGCATCTTGCTGCCCCAGGGTGTGGGGCCTGGTTTCTCTTCCACCTCCTTAATGTAGGCTGAGAACACCCTAGAGGCCGGGGGGGGGGTAGTAAAAGCAAAAAAAAAAAAAAGAAAAAAGAAAAGAAGAGGAAGAGAGCATCAGAGTATGTTGGCAGGGGGGCATGGCATTTTTTTTTTTTTAAAGACTACCCATTGCTCGCTCATGACTTTTACCTGCATTTGAAGTCACAGGATCCAGCAGCCAGCAGTACATTGTTGGGATGCCAGTCCAGACTGAGGATGGTGGAGCGGATAGGCTTCTTGATGTGCTTGCTCACCCACCTGAAGCACAAGGGGAATCATTCATTTTTTTTATGTGGAATATAAAAACTTCAGCAGGTAGAGCTAACTAATATGCAACTTGTGCATAGTGACTGCACACTTAGTGAGTGTAGCGCAGGAAAACTGGACTGTTTGTTTTATTGATCATTCTGAAATTCCACATGTGATATATCAAGCATTTTATTATCATGTCTGACAAACCCTGACCTTCAGTTAAACAGAACACATCCATGTAACCAAAAATACAACGAAGAAGAAGAAGAAGAAGAAGAAGCAGGCAGCCCTGGCACAGACAGACAGAGTATACTCCTACACATGGAAAACAACATCTGGAAAATATGTAGCAATGAACACAGTGAACCAGAACAGAGTGGCCCAGTGCTGGGAAAAAATTTCTTTTGACCTTGTTAATGGATCATTATCATCAGTTGGCTGTACAGTACTTCGATTTTAAACCAGCATCCACAAACTGTGTCCCAAGTAAAAAATAATACATTTGTAACTGTATATATCATATATATAATATTGATCGAAAAAAGAGTGAAAACACACTATCTGACCATAACAGATACATTTACAAAATGTCACAGTTGTACTAATTATCCCAGACTTACCAGTCATTCTCAGACTCAAAGTAGCAGACAGAGATGAGTCGAGCCCCACTGCCGACTGCAAACTTATTCTCCAGTGGAGACCACTTGACAAAGGTGGCAGCTCGGTTGATCCTGAGGATGACCAGTGTGGGCTTCCATACCCCCTCCTTCTGGGACCACACGTAGGCATTACGGTCTGCTCCGCATGTCACTATACGATCACTTTTGGGAGCCCAGTCAATACCTACACCACAGCCAAGAGAAAAAGGTACTTTATTACAAAGAGACAAAAGATAATTTAGTGCTGCAAAGACAAGATGACTGGCATAAAATTAACCAGCGATTATTTTGATAATCAATAAATCATTTTACAAGCAAAAAATGCCAAACATTTGCTGGTTCTAGCTTCTCAAACGTGAAGATTTATCACATTTCTTTTCCATATATAACAATATGTCGATTTTTATTTTTCACAATATTCTGACATTATACAGACAAACCAGTTACTTGATTAATTACATCCCTAATCCAACTGACTGACGAAACAATCGTGAAGAAGTGGATTATGATGGCACAGCCTTGAGTTGAGTCATGTTCTGCGCAGTCAAATCATTCAGCATCATGTATGTGTATCAAATGTGTCTCAACTTGTGTAAATGAAAGTAGTTTTGTTTGTGGCTTAGTCATAGGAACACAGACATGGATTGAGACATTACACTGATTAGCTAAAAAATAGTTTGTTTTGTAAATGTAAATAAAGCAGTCTGACTAAATACCTGTTATGTGTCCATTGTGCTCCTTCAGCTCATGGGTCTTGACCCACTGGTTGCCACTCTTCTTGTAGATATGAACTTCATGGTTATTAGGACTGATGGCAATTTCTGCAAAACAATGTGAAAACAGCGGCTTAACACAATGCAGGGACAGATAACAAACAAGCTAGACCAGTTCCTGGTATTTGTCAAATACCAAGCTGGACTCAGTGGCAAAGCCAAAAAATGCTGCAAACAAAAACCACAGCCACAGTATTATTTCCCTTAGCTGAAATTACTGTACTACTCACATCAATATATACAATATTTAAATGTCATTAATGACATGATCTGTTGAGTCTGTTACAAGCTGGTGTGTGGGGGACGAGTTGGCACATTCAAAGGAAGGAGGAGATAGTTGAGCCTTACGTGTCCTGTCGCGGTTCCATGCGTGGCAGGTGATGGGCTCCAGCAGAAACTGATGAAGGGACATCTTGTCTGGGTGTGGTCCTTAAGTGAAACTCTGCGAAATCACACAACAAAACTTAGTTTAGCAACCAGCGACATAAACAATGAGCGAACAGCTGGGCTGAACTTTGCCTCTATCAGCGTTAAATCTCCACGGACAGCGAATATAAGAAGCCTGTTTTATTACCTCTAAAATGGGACAACTGGTGAACTGTTAACTTTATTGCAATGTTACTCGGAACTGTGTTAGCCTGGTTACATCATATAAACCTAGTCAAAACACTGAAAGGCTGCTACTACTAGCCTATGTTAACGTTAGCTTTAATAATATTACTAAGCTAATATTAGCCAGATAACTTTGACCAAAGTCTCATTTTTAAGATACTTCTATGGATTTAGGTTGAGTTAGTAAGCTAGCTACTATAATATTGCCATGATTAGGTTTGTAGCTTTACTCCGTAAACCGTTAACATCACCAAAACATTACTAACGTTACTAGCAGGTTAAGCGATTTGCTGGCTAACAGTTCACCGGTGTGAGATAAGACAGGCCTGGCAGCCAGATTGGTCATTTTGATAAATGTGTTATCGTGCTGCTATTCACATGTTCACCGAAAGGCCTCCCTCCTCCATATCAGACCCCGGTTTTTCCATTGAGGACATGCCTTTACTCCCGATGATAGCAACACCGTTAGCCGTACATTCCCCTAGCCCGCATGCTAACTCACCCCGTCAGTCCGGTTCTCCGTGTGTGCAGTCTCGCTAGCCGGCGAGCTAAGTTACGCTAGCTGGGGAAGGTTAGATCAGGAGTGGACCTGAATTCGCGGACTCTGGTCAGTCGACACGAATTCGTCCAGGAATGTTGAGGGAACGTCAAGACGGCCAGCAGGATACGACCGGAAGCATCCGGTAGCGAAGTCGGCAGCAAAACCCGTGGATGCCTGGCTGACAGCTAGCTTAGCATCATCACGCTAGCTGATACATTCAACTGAATAACCTCGTTCACGTCGAAGTCTCTCACACAAACTACGACGGGTGTGAAAGGGCTCCTCTAGTGGTTCAAGTAGAAACACACAAACTGGTCTAACCGGTTACAAAACACCACCATCTAGTGCATAGATTGGACAAACAAAATCCAGCAGGGCAGTGACTGTACCTTACCATAGTGCCAGTCTTGTATGTACTGACATCACAAGGAAAGGGTCATTCCTAAATTCCTGAGCAAGGCTGGATTACCAGCGAGCAAAGAGGCCCCCAGAGCCCCAGGTTTACTCTATATAGCTATAAAAATTTGAGTAATAGCCAAGAAAATAAATTAGAAATGTGCACCACTAAAGTACAAACCAGGCTAGGTGGAGTCCTCCATACTCTGTCAGACAGAAGGAAAAAAACTGAAAAATTCATTTGACTGCAGTTGGAGCTCCTGGACCTGAGTCTGCCTGAATACATACTGCAGAGACGTTTCCCTTCTCTGTGCATAAGTGAGATCTGCCTAGCTCTGCATATGCTGTATATGTATTTTGTATTTTCCTCTTTACTTTTCTCAGAAGCAAGTGTAATTTCACTGCATATTTAACATTTGGTGAGAAATCAGTACCTATGTACTTTTTCTTGACGTAACAAGATTAAATGTGTTTGTTTCTTCAGCTGACAACAGCAGTCTGCTGCACCCTGAGGCCCTGGAAATCATGAATATGGATATAAAGCCCAAAAATATAATGGTCATGGATCACAGGCACCAACCACTACAAGTCAAACTCATTGAATTTTGTCTTGCTCGCAAGGTGTCTGCTGCTGTTTCAGGTTCATGTGTGCAGACTCTGTGATTCAGGTATGTACAGGCTGAAAGCTAGCTTCAATCACATATTCTCTGACACATGACAGCTTCAAAAATGTAATCTAACCTCTGTTGCTGTTCTGTCTTATATGATTTGTGATTTAGCCAATGAATATTTCTTTAAAGGACAAATTGTGCATCCTGATGGTCTGTAAACATGCCTCAACTAAAATACAAATGGAAGAATCATTTCCGTCTCTGACATACTGCTTCACACCATGATGCAAATCAAATCAAATCACATCACAACTCCTGCTAACCAATAGAAATATGCATTACAGTCAACTAGTTTGCTTTTTCCTGGCATTTATTAAGAAACAAGGAGTCCATTCAAAAACTATTGTACACCCATGCCATTACAATTATGTCTACAAAACACAAAATCAGATCAATTTAATTCCTAATGAACCAAATTAACAAAGCACTACCATTAGGCTTATTCAAAGGAGCATTTTCTTAGGTGCAAATATGTGACAGCAAACAAATGAAATAGTGACAAATCAAACAGACAGTAATAATAGTTATTTTTGGTAGTTGAAAATTCTTTTAAGGTTAATTCTAATGTTTATGCTAATGTTGCACAAATTAAAAATACACAAACACAAAAGGGGATAGATTTGATTCCAAATAATTCCAAGTTCACAAATAATTACCAATAAGCTTATTTAAAAGTACACTGACAACATCAAAATGTAATCAAAGCTATTTTTGGCACTTGAACATTCTTTTCATGCTACTAATGCACAAAATATAATACAAAATAATGTGATAACAAATACATGAAATGCCAAATAAAAAGGACTGAGTACATATTTGGCACTGGAGGATTGTTTCCAAAGTCAGCTGTGTTCATGCTGTTGATACTCGGACCCTGTTTTGGATGAGTTGAGGTTACAGGTTACACATGCCCCATCTACTGCTGCTGTCTTGGAGCCGTTGGCTTTTTGCAGTGTCCAGGGACCAAGCTACTGCTGGGATGGATCTGGACCTGGAGGTCCTCACTATCAGAGAAACTATGGTGTCCAGCTTCTGAGTGACACATAGAGAGAAATCAGAATATTTTCATTTTCCATCTCTTTGTAAATGAATGTGAGTAGCTATGAGTAGGGAGCACAGGCTTCTCCTGCTCTACTCACATATTGATTATCTGCCATTAAACACAATGTGCCTTGTACATTTATCTGTGTATTGGGTTAAAATGAACCACACAAAAAGACCTGCTAAAGTTTTTACCTCGTCTCCTCTTCTAGGTCATCCATTTCTTCCAGTTCCTTTTTTGACAGATGATCAACAAGTGCCACGCCAATACAGTCTCCCATGACATTGACAGCAGCATTGCAGCGATCTCTGAAAGACACAAACTACAGTTAACTATAGAAGCAGAGGTTATCCTCTTCACAACATGTTGTTTGATATTTGGTGTAGTAATCGTTGCCAAAACACAAGGTAAACTTACAGCAGCCATTCTATAACCATCAAAAGGGAAGCGTCCCTTACAGGAATCCCATTGACTGTCAAAATGAAGAGAGTGGTGACTGTTCCTGTCGCTGGGATCCCTGCTTCTCCCACGCTGGACGCTGCTACTGTCACACTGTAGAAAAGACACAGAGCCACATCAGTGATCACCAGAGTGGACTCTTGACTGAACAAAAACATGAAACTGTATGAATTTGGGGACTGGAAACAACACCATAGACTCAAAGATCCAGCTGCTGGTGGACAAAACAAAAGCAAAGTAAACCATGAAGAGCAGATATGAATAAAGGATAATGATTGAGACTACGAACAGCTACTTCCTGTTCACCGACAACACAATACTGTATACCAGCATCAACTCCCTCATCCACCAATACAGTTTTAGGGGACATTTAAACTCTTACATGTTTAAATACACATCAAAATCTGTTAAATCTCTGTATCTGTCTCAAATTGTTCTGACACAAATAACCCTTAAGAAGAGTCACGAACTGGGATGCTTGTGCCACTCTAAAAAATACAGTAAAAATAATACAAATCCATAAAACTTAGATATTTTTAATTTTGATTTTAACAGTTACATTTTAAAGAAGAAATGCATTTTAAGCTCAACCCCTGTTTATACCTAAACATATTTTTCTATATCAACTAGAACAGAGAGACAGTGAAAATAACATCATTGTGACTTACCCCAGAGTAAACAGCTGGCTCCAGTTCAATTCAATGTGGTTCAGCTGGGCGATGAAAACTGCTGCGACCACTTCATAAAGGGCTGTTCCATCCATGTTAATATTGATCCCAATAGGCAGCATGAAGCGAGTGATTCTTTTGTCAATCATGAGTACTTGCTCCAAACATCGGAAAGTCAGTGAGACTGCATTGCTTGGAGACACAATGCATTCATTGTTGGTTCTTAAATGTCCATATATCTTATACACTGGGGTCCCAAAATGGACTCACTCACAATGGACTTATATCAATATTCTCTGTACATCTACTGCATCAATCCAAGTGATACTATATTTACTACAATATTTACTATATTCATATTTAACTTACTTTGTTGAAGACGGAAATAAAGATTCTACCTGCGCGAGATGAGCATGGTCCTCAGTAAGGCAGGAAAAATCCCTTGAATGAAAACGAAGGGACTACGTCTCACGAACAGAAGGTAGACCAGTGGTAGAACTACTATTGCATGGATAGCCAGCCTGAAAAAAACAAATAATGCTTATACTGTATCGAATGAAATGGCTTACTGCAACAGTGCTGAAAGAGCAGAGGGGAACATACCCACTAATGACCACTGCCACAAACATCCCGAGTTTGAAGACAGTCTCCCAGTTGTCCGACACTTCAACGACATAGCTTGCAGTCATGAACATCACTCCGATTGGCATGAAGCTGGAAAGGAAACAACAGACTGACAAATTATGGGAGTGTCTCAGTTAAGGGAAAGCTGCTTAACTTGATAACTTTTTAAAAAAAAACAGTTAGACAGATGAAAACTACACATGACAACATGAGTCAAAAAGAAACCAGTTATGTTTTTGACAGTTTGGGAGATGGAAGAAATAAAATCAGAAAGAACCCCATTTTAATAGTTAATTCCATGTATGATAGTGTATGATGTGTATGATAGACTATAGGATATCTACTCTCTTTCTTTAAATAATTTCGAAACACTCCACAATTTCTAAATGTAACATTTGACTATGCAGAGGTTGAGATTTTCTTACAAAATACGTGCTGTCTCACCATACCCTATTATCATTCTAACCACACGCTTGGTGGCTTCTTTGAAGGTGTTAAGGATATCCACAAGGAGTTTCCCTTCTTCTCCCATCCTTTTGAGGGCCAGTCCAAAAACAATAGAGCACACAATCAGGCCAACAGTATTGCTTCCATCAATATGCTTGCTCACCAGACGCACTTCTGTGGCGTTCTGAAACAAGATGAGAAAGTCACTGAGAACAACAGTCTGACAGCTACTCCATGTATCACTAATTATCACGGTTGAATGTGAACTTGATCATGACAAAAGGGTGATATTTTTACCGACTCCAGGGTGGAACTGTGATCAGCTTCTTCAACTTCAAACTCCACCTTCACAGTCTTGTACTAAAGATGAGAAAAAAAAATCACATCATGAGTGTTACCTTGTCTCTGTCAAGAGCTGTACTGCATGTTGCATACCTGAGTAATAATACTTACCTGTTGAAAGCTAGCCAGAAGAAGATTTTGTGGCACCATGTTTCTATAAAGTGTAAAGAAAAAACAAACATAAATACCACCATGAAACTGATGGGTAAAAATGTTAGTCAGCTTGTAAATGTTGGCAGATCTAGAAAGAAATGCAGGATAATCTCAAACGTAGTGTGGATTCTAGCCAGATATTAATCCTTTTAGAGTACCTCATATGTGTTATTTCTGCTTAAGAAAAGCATTGATGGATGCAATTCTGAAGGAAGTCTCTGATTAAATGATCCAGCAACCAACTGATCTAAAGACATGCTTAAGTCGAAACTGAAACCTAAACATATAGAGAAATCCGTTGTGGTAGGAATCAGCGTGGACTGTCAGAATTTACACTTCCCTCTCACCTTACTAGATCCAATATGGCATCAGTGGTGGAGAAGATTTCATCATCATCATCTGTCTCTTTTCCAGCATTTTTGCTGACCCCGGGCTTCATCATTATTACCAATATTAATCCTACAACACATAGTCCACGGTTGAGGATAGGAAACAAAGAAACAGGTATAAACTAAATGGTATGGTATAAACTAAAATGATTATTTTCTCACTTAAAGCATAAAAAGATGCTTCAGGTAATATACTTTCACCTACTATGTGTTTGTATGAAGATATATGCATAAAAAAGTGAAACTAACCAAAGTGCATTTTTGATATACAATATTCCTCTTACCGATAGTCACAGACAGAAGAGTGCTCATGACAAAGTATACTAGTGCACGTATGGTGATTTTTCTGGAGGTGCCACTCAGACTACAAATTCCTATCAAAAATAAGAATGAAAGCTGAGGTCTGCAGACTGAAAGTTAGAGGAGCTGTAAAATCACATCACTGTAAGTAATAGTTACATCACTGTAAGGTCATGGAAACTTTAGGCGACACAGTTACTGCATATCTCAAGAATGACAAGTCACATGAGTGTGTTTTAAAACCTATGTGATGGTAATTTTTAAACACATGTAAATGTCAAATTGTGAGACATTGGTGTCAGCAATGTAATCATTATCTATATACATGCTATATAACCACTATGGTATTTTTTAAATGCTATGTGTATAAAATGCATAGCCTCATGTTACAGCTGACAGTGTGAGAAACACACTTGAAGCTTACCTGTTATCACACTTGACACAATAAGAGGAACGGTAACCAGCTGAAGCAGGCGTATGAGCATCTCTCCGGGAAAGCCAATGTAGACTTTTTCAGGGGCTGACAGATGCATGTAGGTCTTCAGAATCATGCCCAGGCCAACACCTTAGACACAACAACACAGAAAAGGGTTTAAAATTGCTAAGAATATGGATGTAAGGTAAAGCAAACCATACACTATGTTTAATGCCCTTTATGTTAGCACTAATAAAGCATAACATAACAAATTGACAAACACAGGTCTTATCATGAAAATAATATGTAAATAATTTCAACAAAACAAATTATTATATTTAGGTTGAAATATGGCTCTCAGAAACATAATTATGTACAGGCTGTCACACTATAACATCACAATGAGAAAATCTTGTCATTAAAGTGCACAAATAGATTCCTGCACTAACCACTGCAGTAGTATTGTTCTCTTCCCTATGTAATCTGTGCATACATTTCTACATTCATACAAAGGTTCCTTGTCAGTGCCCAACAAATGGGTACATTTTTTTTCTTTGCACACACAATGACATCCTCATGGCAACATTATGTGACTGTATACTGCTCTTTTGATACCTGCACTACACCGCAGGTAAGCAGTATACAGGTATAGTATACTAGACTTGAACTGAACTTTCAGATCAATGAGCACATGTGAAATTTACATAAATGCACGTGACTCTGACTATATAATGTGGTTGGAAATCAAAACCATTTGGTTCTTGGGTGTTTCAATGTGGCCCGACAGTTAGCGAAATTGCAATGATTAAAGCGTCCACTAGGTGACACTGTGTAAATTAGTGAAATAGAGCATCCACTGTTAGGAGCGCCATACACAGGATGCAAAAGATGCACCTAAAGCTAAATGGGTGTCAACAGGAGGAGGTATTTTCCTTTAATGTCTGTACAAACCGTGGCCTCACATCAGTATTTCTCTCTGCTGTGGCTACATGTGGACATTAGCCTTAACTCACTTTAATAAAATGTAGCATTAGTTTGGAGCTGAAGGGGATATTGTCAGTTTTTAGTTAGTTATAACTGGGACATTAACTGCTACCTAGTTTACCATAAACTATTCAATTATTTCTGTCGACTTCTTACTTATCTAATACATTAGCATCTTGATTAACACACTAATCTATAGACCATTTAATTGTGTTTCCCCTAAAAACGTCTTTCAAAATAAAACAAATATTGGTTCACTAGCTAGCAAAAGTGTTTTTGTCAATTAAATGTATTTCACTTCACTATTTCATAACTTACAATGTCGAGACATATGTCCACATCTAGCCAAAGCTTCCCTGTGGTAAATTGAACTTACCATGCTTATGCTAGCTTTTCATAAATTGTCTTAAATTAGCGCAAGTACGTAGCCTGACATTAGTTGAACTTACCGAGGAAAACGGCGACCAGGCTTGAAATAGTTAGGACATTCCACCTTTGGATAAATCCAGCCTTGTTGTGCATTTTCAAGCTGTCTGAAAGAAAACAAATTAGCTAGCTAATATTACACTTGGCTCGACAGCCAGCCTGATCGAAGTATTTGGCTAAATAGAATTATTAATTTAAATATGACATTTTAAAAGTAAGCACGTAGATAAAGCTTGTTGTTATTTTTGCGTCAATACTCACGATGATGGTCAAAGAAAGTTGAGTAACTGAAAATGTCCTATTTTGTTCAGATGAGCATTTAGTCAGTTGTTGTGTTGTTTTGATTCGTAAGTCAATTGAAGGTTAAAAATATAACGGTATGTCACGTGACCCTCGAAAGTAAACAGAACGTCAGATCCCCAGTGGCAGTTAAAAGTTCGTGTGGCACATACACCGGTGTTTCAGGTGAGATAGAGTCAGGGTTGGCACGAGTGACAGAGGAAGTGTCCTTTCAATATCTGTAGCTCTTTGAGTACTGTGGAATATTTTGTATATGAAATATTCAGTACTTCTATTCAAAGGCGTAGACACTCAGGAAATTATATTAACGTGTCCTGCATAAACAGAATTTGGTGTGATCAGAAGTAGTTTTTTGTCCACATAGTTTGTAAAACATGCATATACCTTGAACAGCCATATATGGCGACTATCAAAAGGCTTTGTGCAAAGTTTTGTCTTCAATAAATTGATCCCTTATGAGTTTGATAGTTTGAGAGCAGCCTGCCCCTAATTTTTCTGCTCACATGTAGTATAGCCTCATAGAAGAGCATGACCTGGCATCGCGACCCTTTGTTTTCCTCTGAATTAAACATATAATCACTTGTTGTATTAAAATCAAACAAAACTAAATGTCACAGTGGTCATGAGCTGTGAGCTGGTGCAAGACAAGCAGTAAGAACCAGGACCTCCAGGATAATAGATTTACACTGCTGCCAAGTGGACTGTGCTCAAAACACATCACCTATGTCTTGTGCACCTTCAGTGAAAGAGAAAGTTAAGAATTAAAAGCTGACACACAGGAGAAGAGGAGTTGAGAAAATGAATAAATGAAAAACACCATGTTTTAGAAGAGGATGTTATCGTACGACCAACTTTTGAAATACAAAATATTGGGGTAAGGGATTAAAAAAATCATTGCAAGTCTTACTAGTAATAACGTTCATACAAAATATACAAATGTTTGTTAAAAGTTTCATTTCGTAAGGATTTTGATTGCAGATATAATACATGATGAAAGTACTATGACACCAATGATAGAGTTTCATAGAATTTAAAGGATACCAACAACTTGCATGAAAAACATTAGCAAAATGACTTGATAACCACAAATCATATTGGTTGCACCATTTTCTGAAAAGACATTAAGAGCGGGACTGAGGTAATTGTTGGTGTGCCAAGCAACAGAAATTTGACCAACACAAAAACAATCACACTAGGTTTGAACTTAAAACAGGTTTAAACAAATGTATATGGTGACACTGGATAGATACAAGTTAAACCTGGAAAATGACATTTTATAAAAGGCATCTCAGTTGTCAGACTGCAGATGCCTGGCTGAACTTTCCAAATCAACCTTTTGTTAACACAGTCTCTGCAAGGCACATGTAGGGTTGTCATCTTGACACAAAATACACCTTGTGGTGAATAGCAGTAAACCATAAATAGAAAGGCTGCTCTGTGCATGAGTTGAACATCATGGAGTTACAATATGGCATGCTAACATAGGGCTTACAGAGATTAATTATCATAAAACAAAGCCCAAAAAAAACACATTTACAGATGTGCAGCGAGATCACGAAAGGGCTCAAATATTAGTATACTGTTGCTACTAGAGGCTGAAGTGGAGATGGATGTTTTTGATGCATTCAAATGTCTTCAACTTCAATGTAAACCTTGCATTTTTCTTGACAAACAGGACACACTTCAACCTTTTAAAATTCCATGAAGTCAACGTGAATTAAAACGCTCCAAAACTCCTAATACCAAGAGGTTGTATTACATTCAGTGTTGTTTTTTTGTAGAAGACCATCCTGCCATTGACTTGTGGGTAACAGGTTCTTTAACCAATCAGAGGAGATTTCAATTAATTGCACCTGGTGGGCCTGCAGATTAGCTGCTGCTGGCTGCAAACATCAAAACACATTCAGGCTTTTACTCTCTTTTTTTCTGTGGTGCATCACTTTACCTGATAAATGGAGTTCTTATCAAAAGTGGATGAGTCATTTCCTACACCTCCACCTTACTTCTTACCAGGTAAAATACCTGCTCATCATGCTTGGTTTGCAGAGCCTGAAATAATCAGTTGTCACAGTTTTTAAAAAAAAACTAATTCTAGCTATTTTCCTAGATGAAAGTCAGACAGGGCAAGATGTGCGGATCTACCACATCCACTCACCTTTCAGCCCTCCACGACCTCCTCCTTCCTTCTTTTCTCCAGGAAATGGCTGCTCCACTCAAACTCACTCACCTCTACCAGGTACATGCTCGCTTAAACCCTGCCTCCATTTTGAATGTATAGTGTCGGTCTGAATGTCACATTTTCTTAGTGCAACTTGGTGATATGCTTTCCTTTAGACTCAAGTGCTGATTTTCAGTGACAATGATTAGGAGGTGCTGACTGTTGAACTGTTTGTTCATTCTGATGAGCTGTTGCAGTGTCAGCCTTTTGCTTGTTACATGTGATGGGATGCCAAAATTTTACTCAGATACAATTTCAGAGAGAAAAGCATTCTTTAAATTGCTAAATACTGGGCACAAACATAATTTTCACATACATTTTAGTTGTTAGAATTTCTACATGTGATCTTATTTTAAAATTAAATTAAAAAAAATAAGCAGCCATTTTAATCCTCCGGTGTCTTCTCTCTAGCATCTGCTCTCCCCGCATCTAACCCAAGGCTGAAGTTTGTGAGCTATGAGACTGAATTGTATCACTCTCCGGCCCTGACAACATGCCCTTCCTGTCAGACTCAGGTCACTACACAGGTCGACTACCAAGTCGGGAGGCATGCGTGGCTCATGTGTCTTGTGTTTGTGCTATGCGGGTGAGGAGAGACGTATTCAAATCTGGTTATGTAACTACCCAGCATCAATCACACAGACACACACACTGAAAAGATGAAGACTGAAGTATGGTTTCTCTCTCACAGGTTGGTGTTTGGATGTTGCCTGATTCCATTTTTTGTGAAGCACTTCAAGGATGCCTATCACACCTGTCCCCGCTGTCGACGGGTTCTCCATGTACACAGGAGGACATGCTGTGAATGAACACACACAGGCTGAACTACCAACAGTTTCAGTTTTCAAACTGACTACTGTAGTAAAATGTCTGCACACCTGTGTCAAACTCAGTCAGGATAACTTCACAGATGGATTTCTATGTTTAAATGTATGATATATAAGGAGATGTATTATTTTTTTATGTAGAACATAAACATTTTTTAACTATATTTTAATCATGTTTTGTAACAAAATCATCAATCAATCAAATAAAAATGTTTTCTGTGCCAAGCTTTTTTCCATGTTTTCTGTCTTATAAAAAATGAGCACACCTCGGGATAAAATGCTGAGCTTGGACATTTATGCAGGTTGTGTATATTTTTCTCCAAACAAATAATACCAGCAAATTAAATTAGCATTTGACAAAACAAAACAAAAAAATTAATTACTGCCTTTTTCCTTCTGCTGATGAAGCTCGTGAGCTACAGCTGAATGCTGTGGAAAAGGCTAGTAAGTGGACCTTAAGTTGATTATTTTGTCAACTGATGGTAATATATTCAAGGTCAAAAATTAACCTCCATGCTTATGTTACATTTGGTTTCCATTGATTTTACAGTTGGCACTAAAAATATTCCCTCCTTACTTTCTTCCCAGTCATCAATACAGCGCGGATTAAGCCTGCATGTGCACTGGCACTGTGTGTAGTGTGTAAACGTGCCCTCACTGATAACACCGGAGGATTAGAGGTGAGGTTTTATTTAGATCTCTGAGCCTGAGAGTAATGACCATGTGAGATGCAGCAAAACCCTACATTCCCTTCCTCTGAGGTCACACGCCTTCTGATGTGTGCCGTGCCACACCCCTCCTGCTGCTCAGGTATAAGACGTTTCAGGATGTCAGCTATTCCAGGGTAGGTGAGCACTACTGGATCCCAGCAGCAACACACTGTGTGCTGACCCCCGCATGGCTGAGGATGCATCAGAGTATCTCATCTCCCTCAGTAAATCACTTTCCTCCTTCGTGCCCTCTTCTTTTTTCTTCCAGCGCTTCAGCCGCAAAACTGAATTCCTCTCCTACCTGATCCTGTGTGTTGCCAAAATGCCGTTCATCCCACCTGTGTCGATTGCACGCTCTGTGTCGGGACTGACAGGGAAGGAGAGCGGTTCATCTACAGCTACTGTGGCCAAGATGAGGGTCCCAAAAGAGGACAAGGGCAACTCGGTGAAGGAGCGACTGACTTTGAACCTCAAACAGCTGGGGAAAAAGGGCCAACCCAGGAGCCATCTGCCAACGGCCAAAGGAGTGTCAGGAGCAGATCTGCACGCAAAGAGAAGGGACAGATTGTTGCCCTCATCGCTAACAGACAGTTTCCCTGCCTCCAGCTCGGATGGGTCCTTGTCGAAGCCACAGCAGCAGAGACATGCGAGCCGGGGCTCCGTGAGGAGTGAACCGGAGGTGGAGACGAGGACCAGACATCAGGAGGAGGCCCGTTTCACCCTGACACTCACACCCGAGGCCGTTCTGCTGCTACAGCGGAGGAACAGTGAGAGACGGCAGCGCGCAGCAGCCAGAAATACTGAAAGTGGAGCTGGAGTTTCAGGAAGCGCCGCAGATTCCAGACGCCGGAGGGAAAACGTTTCTAAACGGCATCAACCGGCAACTCAGAGGCACAGCGCTTCAACCAGCAGAGCTGCAGTGAAAAACAACAGCGATGCTGAACTGGGAGACATAAGCTCAATTGTGAAAATCTCACTTCTGAACGAGCGACACAAGTACGATGATGTGGAGTACGAGGAAGAGGACTATGTTGTGGATGAGCGCGTGGTGCTGAAATGTACCGAGTGGCTTCGTGGGCTGGAAAACACGCCAGTGGCAGCGGGGAACAGCCTGAGTAAAAGCGCCAGCAGTGTGAAAAGTTTCTAAAGGTGAAATGAGCAGCACTGTTTAAAGGAGTCCAACCTGTGATTGACCTGCAGTTTCTGTTTGTGTGTTGGCTTGTTTCTGGTTAGATGTTCACTTGATGACAGTTTTTCACTTTATCAGCTGAAAAGTATTAGCCACATTTTGCCTATAGATCATTTTTAAACAACACTAAGCAGTGCAGCTTATTGGGTTATTGTGCAAAACATTCACAATGTGCACAAAACACTGCAGGTGCAAGGAAACACTAAAATGTCTTACATGTGATGTTGAGAAACCAATATTTATTCTATGTTGATCTATACTTCATTTTCCAACAAGGTGAAATGAGGCATTGTTAGTGTTTCTAAAATACTCCATGCCAAAACAGTGTATTGACGGAATCATTTTGTCATGATCTGTAATATCCCTTGTTGATGTGTATCCAATACACAGAAGATTCTCTCTAAAGAGACTACCACTTGGAAAGAATGCTGTTTCCTGTTTTGTTCAATGTCTCTTCAGATAGAAAATGGGTAATCTTTCTAAATCAAAGCATTCCCTACACACTTCACTTTTTATGCTGCTGATACATACATGTCAGTAAAACTCATTTTACACACAGCCGAACTGACCGACTGGATATTCATTACAAACTGATTCTGAGCAGCCAAATCACAGACTCGTTTATTTCAAACTATAGTGGAGAAATATGTCAGAATTTAGGGAAAATGATGCAGAAGACGTGGAATATTTTTCATTTAATTGAATGATGCAGCAATAAAAAACACAGAGACACCAAGTGTAAACATCATGCAGCTTCAAGGAAGAGTTGGGGCCAACATGATACAGATTGTATATACAGTATATATATATATAAATATACAGTGTATATATATATATACATACACATGGAAATGAGACTGTACTTTTTAAATGGAAATCAAGGGAGGAAATGAGTTTTAAGGAGTTAGCTTAAGTACTTTAAGTACTGGACACTGTGTTCGGTGTGTAACATTTTTCATTGTTCTGAAATCAGGTTTTTAAAGAATCTGTGCATTCATAATTTGTGATAATATGTTTATTTTCTCTGGATAATATTTTTGTAAAATTTGCATAAAAAGGTTTATTACACTAAAATAATATGACAATTCCTTGACTGTTTCTGCATGGCATGAATAAATTTGTTATTATTTACTTGGAGAACTGAGAAATGTGACTTGTTTTTAAATATAACTAACAGATTATCCATGAAATGTAGATTCGTTTAAGCTTTTCTTTACTGCGGCTCATGTCTCACACGCTGTAAGTAGCTTTGTAAGGTCTTAGATGTTGGCTTGGCTGTTGCTGTACATTCCCTCGTGCACAGACCAAGTGTGCTTAGTGGCAGCTTATCCACCTGGGAGTCAAATGCAACAACACGTGTGTTTGTTTATGTTTGAGGGCATGAGAGAGGCACAAAGAGAGCAGGAGGTTCCATGTGTACTGTTTGACAAATATGTTGATTTTAAATAATATAAATAATCACATTAGAAAGCTTATTTCATCTGGTGCACACATATTAAAACAATAGCTTTCCCTTTTTCCCCCATAATAAATAAGATAAACACACAGTGCATCTGTGGCGTACAGATGGACAGGCATCATTTCCAGCGGTTGATTCGTCGCAGCTGCATGTAGGCCAGGAACATACAGACAGCTATGATTCCCAGCAGAGCCACCTGGTTCTGCCAGAAGCCCCACACAGAGTAGTCAATGTCCTGGCTTTTCAGGAACAGCTCCCCTGGAATGCTGCAGCATAGACAAGAGATGCTCAGTGTGTGTGTGTGTGTGTGTGTGTGTGTGTTATTGTGTTTTAAGGGGAGGCTGTTATCACACTCACATGGTGCTGTTGCTGTAGAACAACTGTCCTTTCATTTCGTTGATGAATGCCGCCTGAGGGAGACAAGGAGACGGGGCTGAACAACTTACTCGCTTCAGATAAAGACATATTAAACTGAGCTCCACTGATCTCATTCTCATAACCACAACCCTCCTCCTCTTGCTCTGCCTATTTTCCATATCTTACATTCAATCCATATCTGAAGATACTGATCCATTTCAGCCAAGACAGCCAGCTCAGCATGGAGTTGAGATTGACAAGATAACCACCGAAAACCTAAAACAGGAAGACAAAGAGGGAAAAAGGGAGAGAATTATACTCTATACTCATAACAGCACTATATTTATAAGCAAAACATTACTATGATTACAGTGGTGTATATGGTATGTATGTGTCTTTGCATCTCACCATCATGAAGACGAAGGGTAGAGCAATGAGGATGTTAGCCATGGCAAATGAAGAGACACTTGCTGAGACGAGGAAAGCTAGAGCTACTCCTGCCAGACTGACCAGAGACATGGTCAGAGCAAAACACATGAAGGCCTCGAAGGCAGGCTTCAACCCTGAGAGAGCGGTCGATACATGTAAATAGGAAGACAGAAGAAGTCTGCATTAAACAAGAATGAGCACCTCAATCCTCTACAGAGTGTTGCTCTCAGCAGCTTCTTCCTGTTGGGGTCAAACATGGCGGTAAGGTCAAACGAAGTGTTACAGATAAAAAGCAATCAACAGCGGGATATCAGATTAGAAAGACAAACAAAACTGGGTCCCTGTGATGTAGATTTTTAATTTCTCAAAACTGGAACCCCCTTGGAATAAAGCAAAGCCTGTGCAGAAAGAATTTGACTGTTCCCTTATTCATTACATAATTTGCAGCTTTCACACTCAGTCAAATGAGTAAAATATCAAAGGCATGATGGGGAGTCCTAAATAACAGCAGGTGCAACAGTCATTTTATGGCTGTGAATAAAACAGCACTTGTTCTTCTCTATACTTGACGACTGGCTGCATCAGGGTGTTTTCCTCATCGGCATAATATACAGTAATATGGTGAATGTATGTTCTTGTATGCAGGTAAATTACCCATCATGTAATAGGCGATGGCTGAAAACACAAAGATGGGGATGATGCGGTTGGGGATGAGATCAGCAAAGATCTTGGACAGGAAGTAGACAGACGTACGATAATAGCCGCTTGAGTTCTCGTGACTGCAAAAACATTGACAAAGACTCTCAATAAACACACAGATACAAACACTGTGACAGAGTTAAAGACATGGGATCGTAAAAGATTTACAGTATTCACTGACAAACTACGATAAAATTCATAGAAAGCTTTTGACCTAACCTTGTATGTTCAAGTATCAGGCTTGTGATGTTATGTATTTTCTATTTGTCAACAAATCTCATGAAAAAAACAAAACCAAGAATGAACTGATCCCCCATTGTCTGTATAGCTGAAGCCTGATATAATGAAGTGCTCTGCGTCATAGAGCCCCATTGTTTTGTTTTTAAACTGTTAAAAACACATTGATGAGACACACTGTTGCTCTGACTCACATGTTCCTTCACTACGATGAACATGGGCATAGTATTAGTTGTATAGTCATTTATTTTGACTCAATGTCAAACACACACACACACACACACACACACACACACACACACACACACCCTTTATCTTTCACTCACATGAAGATCGCCCTTTCGTTGATAAAGAGTTCAACAGCAGAGAGATTCCCAAATACCATGTTGATGATAAGGAAGAAGAACGCACCACTCCTGTTGTAGAGAGAGGGAGAGAGAGAGAGACTTATCTGATTATCATTTCATCGAGTAGTTAAACAGAAAATGTCAGCAAATGACAATCTGACCTACGTTTCTCCCCATAAATTTCAGCGTGTTACAGCATCATAAAAGTCGTTTCCTCATCTTGACATTATGGCTTCTTATCTCTCCAATCTGCAGTATTTAAACTGAATTTAGCCATCATATCCCAGTGCTTGCTTGTATCCTTGACTTTTATGTAAAAAGTTAATCACTTTCTCTGATCTTTTTGTCACCCTTGTCTTGACAGTTTCCGTTCTTGCAGCTTTTTCTGAAACGGATATATTCACATTTGCTGTCTCACCACATTTCCCTACGACATTTATACATGCACAGAAAAAAACCCTCTAAACAGCAGAGAAATATCTTTGATATTATCTTCTATTTTCATTAAGTAGTTCTGTTGTAATTTGGCCTTGAGATGAGCTGGGGAAAAGCAGGGCACTTATAGAGTGAAGAGTGTGCAGAGAGGTGAAAATAGAGCAGATACTAGTTTGGCAGGTTAGCCACACAGTACCTGTTCTGTAAAGCCTCGGGCAGTGTCAAGGGCATCTGGTAATAAATGAGTCCCACCAGAACTGCAAAAAAGATGTTGAGAGCCAACTGGGCATAAGAGGTCTGAGGATTCCTCAGCGTGTTCAGCACTGTCCTGCCACACACCACACGCATCTGTCTCACACACACACACACACACACACATACACACAGAGAAACAATAAAATATATAAACTGGGTTCATTCAGCGGGCAGCCAAGCACACTGACATAACAGCTGGCACTAACCACTGCGCTGTAACATTATAAACTCATTGCAATTTCTGTTAATCATAAAATGAATAACGACTGAGAATTTAATTCCCTCAACTGGATAATTATTTGGACCAAGTAAGAAAGATGTTCTCCACAAGGTCTTTTATCGATTTCTGAATTGCATAGTTGGCTGACCTGATAGAGGAAAGAGGTAGCATAGCTGGCTGTCTCATCTTGACCTGCGACCCCTTCAGCAATGCTCTGGTTCACATGGTCCAACTCCTCAAGAACTTTCTGGCACAGTTGTGACTGGCGATATGTTGCTGCCAGTGGGTTTCTACACTCAGCTGTGGAAAGACAGAGCGGCCACAAGATGTTGGAGACAGGAACAGACAATATAATTAACTTTTCTTTTTATACCAGCTATTAATTCTTCCCAGTTATTGGCAAGTAATATGTCAGGACATTTTGGTTAACATTGGGTTAAACATGATTTAAAAATGGATATCTGTAGATGTTTATGTATATTCAGGCACCATTTTGAAAAGCTTTTCAGTGTCTTTATTTAAACATGTAGCAGGTTATGTTATAAATCAGGATATTGAAACACAAGTATGAACATGCTGCAGAAACAATGGTTACATCTTATCTAGGAACATCCAACAATGTCGTCTTTCTGACCAGATTTAGCCCAGTATTACCTGGACACCTACATGTCTTCTCACCTGATTCACAAGAAACATGCTTACTGGGTTGTTGGTTTCACATAAACTATGTGTGTGTCTATTTTTAGAGTCTGTAATCATACCTGCGGTGACTGATTCAAATGTTGATTTCGCCTCTCCATTTGTGACATCCATAAAGAAATCAGCAGGGTTGTTGAAGGACTCAATTTGGTAGCCTATCCACACACACACACACACACACACACATACACACACAGATGCAAAACTAATAAGTCCCTCTATGAAAGCAAACAATATTCTCACATAGTATTTGAGAATTCAAATAGAACAGTAGTCCATCTAGACAACCAGATTATTTTTCATTTCATATCAAGATGGTAGAATCCTATATATAAAATATTGTCAAGCATCAGGACATCACATGACAATACAATATCTTTCCCTTTCCTATATAAGGATCATCATATAATATTATAACAGAGTCCTAGTCAGCATCCTACACCTTTCATAGTAAACATAATCATTACATACCGAGGTCTGTGAAGTATTCCAGTGCATGGTCTGCTGCTCCTGCATACACCACCTCCCCTTTATGCATCAGAGTCAGATGGTCAAACTGTCTGAAGATGGAGTAGCGAGGCTGGTGGATGGAGAAGATCACAGTCTTACCTCTCCTGGACAACCTGAACACACATTCAAAATAATGTGTTTATGCCCACATAGTTAACAACACAAAGACGGCAGTGGAAATTGAAGGTGCTGCTGGTTCAGAGATCATCGATAAAGGCCGTCTTCCACAGAATTGTATGCTGTAGTTGTAATTTGTATCTTATGTGCGAGTATGTGGTTGCCTAATGTGTGATTAATTAGTAATTGTGTTGTACTTTTGCAGTAGACTGATGATACAGTTTGCAGTGTTGGAATCCAGTCCTGTAGTTGGTTCATCCAGAAACAGCAGAGACGGAGAAGTGATGAGCTCCATCCCGATGCTGCACCTCTTCCTCTCACCTCCTGACACACCACGCAGAAACTCTGTCCCTATCTGCGCACGCACACACACACACACACACACACACACACACACACACACACAAACCCACACACACACACACACAATTAAAAATGCTTGGTTGCTGAACAGCTAGGGTGGCAATAAGTAAATACTCCAGTTATTGTAACTGAGGAGCTTGTATTTGAACATGCACCTTTGGGGCTATTTTTATATCTAAAAATACATATACATGTCTGCCAACCAAAAACAAGGGACACTGGACAGGGAAGTCACTGGGAAGGGATAAAGAACACGTTTTATTTTTATAGAAAAAAACTTAAGTGAATGACATTTGTGGAAGAAGATTTTTTTAAATAAATGCTTCTGCTTATACCTGGGTAAGACATAAAAAAGTAAATACGATTGAACAGGACATTGTAATACTCTAATACTCTTTCAACAACTTAATAATGAATGATATACAATGATATATGATATACCTTAGTGTCTGCACAGTCTGTAAGGCCCAGGTCTTGTATGATGACATTTACTCTGTCGTGTTTATCTGTGGAGGAGTGATGCTCAGGGTTGAGACGGAGGTTGGCACTGAACAACAGATTCTCTCTCACAGTCAGAGTGCCCATCAGGATGTCATCCTGGAGACACAAGGATGTTGTGCACACAAGATCGTAAAAAGAATCCACAGTATATAATGTAAAAGAAAATGTGCGTATGTTTGATATTTGTGTACCTGAACCACATAAGCAGAGCTAAGCCTGAGTTCAGATGTGACAGCTTTTCCGTTTACCAAGACGGTTCCTTGGCGCAGCCCGGCAGGGTCTTTTCTTCCTGCTATTACATCCAGCAGACTGAAAAAAAAGAGTGACTGATAGTCATTTGGTTTGAGTTATAAATGTGTGTGAAACAATGCCTGTGTGTTTGTATACACAAGAACATGTCTCTTACGATGTTTTACCGCTTCCTGTTGCGCCCATGATGGCATTCATCCCAGGTTTAATGATGCCACTGTAAAAAACACGTCAAGTTAAGTCAGTTCTTTTGACACAAGATATTTCTCCTTGAGAATTAGCATTCTGTTGAGTTTAATATAAGTTGTAAAAATCTCTCAACTCTCAATCACATAGTTTGGAATCCCACCCCACTTCCCCACACTGTTTCTCCTGGAAAACCTTATTCATCAACACATTCATCAATGTGTATCAAGTTATACTGTATCTATGTAATTCATTTTAATATCTTCACTGACCTTTTGGATAACAATTTGTACAGCAGGAAATAAATGAGCATCGCAAAAGTGACACTGAAATCTCTACTGCTGTAAAATCTGCTGCCTTTTGAGTGCCATTCATGCTTTAATTACTCAATTTAACTTACTGCAAGTTGCTTTAATGGCCCTGAACCAAAGCTATGATTACAATACAATGGGGAAAGACTTATGGATAATGTAAATGTATCCCCTCTGGCTCAGACATTTGACATCTACCAGAGCATTGACTCTGTTTTCCTAATTTCCCATTCTTTCTCAGCCTGCCTTAACTCTAAATTTAATAATACCCAAACGCAAGGACCTTTAAAATTCTTTAAAATGTACAAGTTTGATGAAATCAGCCACAAACTGAACAACCCATGACTTCAAAACTTATTGTCAGATGTCAAAGAATAACAACCATGATGCATACAGTATTGCATAAAAAAGGAGATGCACCTTGAGTGTTGTGTTCCACCAGTTGTATAGCATGTCATACAGTCACTACCCATTGATAATGCTGTTATCTACCTATAACTGTACGTCTATGTACATGCACATACACACAGGTAACTTTCATGTCCTACCTCACATCTTTCAGGATATATTTTTCAGGACCAATCTTGCGGCAGAATCTCGTCTCCTGAACACAGTAGTGCAAGTTGCTGAATGTGACAGTCGGCCCTCGTTCCTGGAAATACTCGTCAATGCCACAAACAACCTGCTCCCCCTTAGACATCTTCAACACTGCACTGTTACCAACAAAGAGGAAGAAAAGGAGTCAGAAAGTGGGTTTTAAAGAGAGAGACAGGTTCAGTCTAACACAGACACCTGTGCAGTCTAACAGAGAGCGATAGGTGAGAGGGCATACAATCAGTAAGTTTCTGTCATAACTCACCTGATCTTTGCACTCCCTCAATCCTTAGCCCATAGATTTATGGGTGTTGCCAAAAAGATAGTGTGACATTGAACTTTCCCCCCAAAATCTCAATGGCTGCAATAACTACATCCAAGAAGCAAGACAGGCAAGAGTTGATGATAACAGATGACAGTGTTTATATTGTGTATACTGCAGCTTACGTAGTGCAAGAGTTGTCATTACATGCTTATTCATATTCAGGCTCATGGGAGAGCCCGAGCCAAAGACGGGGAAAATGTCCTAGACAGGTTTATACAGATACAGAATTTTGTGGACCCACACAAATACAGAGAGAACATGCAAACATACAACAAAGGGGCCAGGACCTTTGTCCTCTCATGGTGGCAACCATAATACTAATACATACCAACTACAACTATATTAGTTCTTTTTGGGATCTGGAAAAAGAGATTTGCTCCCATTCAGCCACATGAGTTGTGGTTAGGTCCAACATTAATATTGGGTGATAAGGCCTGGTTTGCAGTCAGTATTCCAATTTCCAAAGACGTTGGATAGGGTTGAGGTCAGGACTCTGTGCAGGCTAGTCAAGTTCATCCACACCAAACTGGGAAACCATTTCCTAAGGGTTAGGGTTAGGGTAGTTTTACTATTGTTTACTAACTTCATGACTCACTCTTCGCCCCTTGAGATACTTCAGTGGTTAAAAAGTAACATGTAAGTAACATGTAGACTTTCATTTACTCATGTACTGTACTTAACAACAGTTTTGACGTACATTTTGTGCCATTTCACACTTCTACTCCATTACATTTCGGAGGCAAATTTCTTTTCTTACATTTATTTGACAGCTGTGACTAGTTTCTTTTCAGTTTACAATTTTACATTGAAAACATGAGTTTGTTTTTCTTGTGACCCCCTTACAAAAAGCATTGCCTAGTTGTGTTTCCTTGACTGACATGTTTTTGTCTTTAAACTTCTTAGATAGCTTTACTTAAACAGCTCTTTTGAGTTCCAAGGAGGCAAAACTGTCCTATATTTGACAGAAAATCAAAGATTACAGAAAAACTATAAACTGAGAGCAGATTTGTGTATCGGAACGTTTTTTTTTTTCAATTTCCTCTCCCATTTCACCACCTCCCAGATTTATCTGATGAACCGTTTAAGAGGCCCAAATTAAAAGTAGCTCCACCTCGACCAGCTCCAACAGTAAAATGTGTATCAATAATCTGATTTATTATAATGTATCAGCCATAAGGGCCAGCTTTTTGAAAAACAAGTACGTTTACTTTTGATAATGTAAGTAAATTTAGCTGATGATACTTCTGTGGTTTTACTGGGTTGAGGTTTATATGCAGGGATTTATATGCAATGGAGTATTTTTACATTGTTGGATTGGTACTTTTACTCCAGTAAAGGATCTGAATACTTCCTCCACCATTGACTAGGGTGTCCTTATACTTTTGGCCACATGAAGCCGTGGGCTACATTTCCATGGCCAGGTTGCCCCCTGCCGGACAGAATGCTGCATGTCAGACAACACACACTCGCCGTCAACGTTGTTTTTCTCTGACCTTTTCTCTTTTTTGCCATTATCCAATCAGGCTTCGTGGTTGGCCCCAAGACCCGCCTAGAAAAGTCGTCACAGCCAATCACTTTCCAGTACAGCGACAAAATGGGCGTAGCCATTTCCAAGTAATTCTAAGGTGTTGTCATCGCGTTCTTTACTTTGGTGTGTTCTACACTGGGCGTACGGGCGTAGTGTTAAATCTCCACAATGTGGCTCTAGCAACGGCTATTGTTTCCTTTTCTGTACATTGTTAGGGTTGTGTAACGTATTTTTCTTACAACATACAGAAGGAAGACAGTTAAGTGCCTCCGGAAACCCAACAAGCTTGAATTTCACACGAAAGGCTAGCTCATAAGCTACTAGCTAACGCCTTACGTTAGCTATGGAGGAGAGGAAAGAGGAGGGAGAAGCGGAGATCCAAGAGCACGGCCCCGAGCACTGGTTCTCCAAATGGGAACGGCAGTGCTTAGCAGAGGCCGAACAGAATGATCCAAATGAGGAGGAGACGGAACAAAGTCAGCAAAAGCTGTGGCACCTGTTTCAGAACTCAGCCACCGCGGTAGCACAGCTCTACAAAGGTCTGTACTAAAGATCCCGAAGTTCGGGTTAGGCTAACTGTCAGAGCTAATGCTAACTAAAGCTAACCCCGCTAGCTAATGATAACGCCGGGTGGGGAGAGACACAAAGGGCACCGGCTAGGCTAACGGTGTTAGCTGTTCGCAGCTGTTTTTCTTCAGCTTAACCAGCTCGATTCCATGGTTGTGTTGCATGACACCAGAATGTGTATTCTTTCAAAACTGTATCAAGGCCATGATTCTGCGATTTTCTTCACGCCTCGATATCATGACCTGGTTCCGTTGCTAGCTCACGGAAGCTAACATTATCAGCAGCCGGGGCTAGCAGCCGATGACCGTGTCCGAGTGTGGGACAACAGGGCTGAATCTGGCTCAGAGTGGCCTGAGCTGTCAGGGGCCTGCGTGGCTGAACAGATTGATAAGTAGTTCAGCTAAGCGGCTCTCAGTCACCGGCTAACTCAGCGGTGTGTATGTTCACCGATGCCAGCACATATGCTCTCCTCATGGCACACTAAAAATGTTTTTGTCCACCCGTTAACAGACACCTAGCTCGTCAAAATGGCGATACACAGGGAGGAGTTTTTTCGACTGAAAACAAGTCGTTTGTTGACGGTCAAATGCAGTGATAATTGTCGCAGTGGTGCGGTGGATGTTGATGAGTTAACGGCACAAAGACATTTTATTCCAACACTTATTCCGATAGACTTTTGCTGATGACTTGTTTGTTGTCAATATCCAGAACAAAATGGCGAAATGATTAACGTGAATGTTGTCTTGTTGAAGTCTCGGTCTGCCCTGCGGAGTTTCTTTTAACATTACACTTGTATTTTGTTTTTAGGAAAAGGTATGGTTTTCCGTCAGCTTCTACTATTGGCTTACATTGACACACATAAACCTGGCCCCGTTTAAAAAGTCTGAAAATGGTGACATCATGTTTGATAATTAATTTGACCTATATGTGAATAAGTGAGTAAAATGTCCATGATTGCCTTGTTCGCCAGTTTCCAGGCAGACCTTATTTGACCACACTGCAATGTTTTGTAATATTTGCAACTACTTTTCTAGTGCACTCATTATCCATCACTTAGTCTATAAATCCTGCTTGGTAAAATGCTTCTGCTTTCAAACTCTGAACACTGTATGCTCAGACTGTAACACAGCTGTATCTACATAAAACTTAATACCTCTTAGTCATTTCTAGAGGAAACCCTATGGACAGCTCCTGTACATTAGATGTAAAGATTTACAGGCAAATTTGAACTTGTAAAGTGATGACTGGTAATAGGCTCTTAACTTTTATACTTATATTTTTGTGGTAAACCCAAACGTTGGCTGGAGTTACCAGTTCTTTATATACACTGTTCTGCATCAATACTCTTCATACACACCATTGCAGTTATTTTTGTTCAGATTGGTAGTAAAATGTGCACCAGTCGCTTGTTACTTGTCATATAACGACACTGAAATTGTTAAGCTTACTAACAAACTAATATAATGAAACCATAGTGCCTTAAGGTAGCTGTGGGATTTAAGCTTGAAAACATTCAGTGCTGAAAGCAATGTCATTTAGTTACTTAGTTTTCTCTTTGGGTATACATACGTGCAGTTGGATTATATCATTTCATTTATATCAGACTGTTTGTACTTGAATTTCCATAGAGAAGACGTGATCTTTGCATGGGGAGTTGGTATTTACGCAGCAGCAATGTTATTTTAAAGTTATCATGATCTGACCAACTTTTTTGCATTTAATTAACAGATAGAGTATGTCAGCAGCAAGGCCTCTCTCTCTGGGTGCCCTTCCAGAATGCAGCCACAGCTGTTACTAACCTGTATAAAGGCAAGTAACTTTGACTATTACCTATGTTGTGTTTCACTGTCTGTGTTTTTGGCATTTTGTATTGCACCCAAGATGTCCTGTATGTAAATGAGTTCATAGTAAATTAACTTTGATTGTGATGTCCAGATTTGCTAAAAACATTTGTCCTTGCATGTCACCAGAGAGTATGGAGGCCCGTCAGCGGAGCTATGACCTGGGCATTCACTTAGGCTATCAGCGCAGAAATAAAGAGGTGATTGCATGGGTGAAGAAACGCAGAAGAACTATCAGGCGAGAGGACCTCATCAGCTTCCTGTGTGGCAAAGTTCCACCTCCACGGACAGCTCGTGCCCCACCTAGGGTTGCCATGGTGTCTGCAAGCCGACCATCTCCCCCCGAGACAGGCAGTTCTGTGGAGACCGACCTGCAGCCCTTCAGAGAGGCAATTGCACTGCACGGTTAGTCAAAATGCCGTCTTCAGTTAGAAGCTGTTGCCTTGTGAGAGTGCCATGCTGGAGTTATATAGCATATGGAGTGCTGTAGTTTACATTTTCTTTTTTTCCTCTCCAGGCCTTAGCGGTGCCATGGCAAGCATTTCTGTTCGCTCTGGTCCTCCTGGTTCCCCAACTCACCCCGCCCAGTCCCTCAGTCGTCGTAGGAATGGTCTTCATGACGTGGACCTCAACACCTTCATCGCCGAGGAGATGGCACTCCATTTGGATTCCACAGCCAATCGTAAACGAGGCCCTGCCCCCTGTAGTGATGTCATCACAGACTCGCCAACTCATAAACGTAACAGGATGCTCTGAACTTTTCCTACACCACTAATCCCTCCTCTGTCCTCTCCTCGGTGGCCGACTGGACAGGTGATGAGGACTGATGCCTTGGCCAACCATTGAAATCTTCCTCCTATTCATCTTAGTTGCAATGCTACGAATAAAGAAAAACTTAGTTATTACCAGCCCACATAGTTCTTATTTTCTTTCACCCCCTCACACCTGTTGTCTCACACAACTCACACGACTCCTCTCCATGTTAAAGTTTTGTTCTTCTTCAGAAAGATTTTCTTTCCCGTTTATGTTTGGGTGCCCTCAGTAGAAACTGATATGGGAACGAGCACGACACACTTGAAATCCTTAAATTGCAGAATGTTGCGTTTAGACATTGTGTATTGGCCGGGCTCCTTTGTGCTTCACATCTAATAAGCAGATGAACCAGGCTGTTGCCTACTGTTTGCTGTTCCCTCATCCCTCAAACGTACTTCCTTCTCCTCTTCTGTGGAGTGCTGGCCAAACCAGACAGGACTGAAGCTTGGGCTCCTCGGGAGGCTGAACTGCCTCCCTGTTTTGTGGCTCCACTCAAAACGCTTGTCAGCGTGTGTATCTCATTCTGCTGCTGCTCTGTGTGTTTGCGTATCTGACAGCAGAACTGCCACTTACTGTGTTGTACTTGTCTTTGCCTTTGAGAAAGCTGCTACAGTATCTCTGGTTGTTGTGCAACAGTGAGTGCGTGTGTGTATGAGTGCCTGTGTGTGTGCTTGTGGATGCAGGGTTCTGGCATATCCAGCACCCACTTGACCCAATTATTTCCTGTTTTACTTAAATTCATTCTATTTTGTCTTTAGTTGCTTTTTGCAGCCCGAACCAGGGTTTTATCACAAAGCAGGTCAATCCATTTTACATAGATAATGGTGACCCCTGTTACTGTCTTTGAGTAGTAGGATGACAGGAGGTGGAAAAACAAGATGTATTTTCAGCAAAGGTTTCTTTGCTCAAGCACCACTGTCCTGAATTGTATTTTAAGTTTTTGTATTAAGTGTACAAAAATCCAAATATGCATAGTTTCCCTATCGCCATCAAAAATTTTGCATAAAGAGCAGTAACAGTGTTTCAAAGGCTGCATTTTATCAACTTTATGTTTTACATTTGTCCCATTGATAAGAATTTAAACTGGTGCATCATCATCATTTTGTCTCTTGAACTTCAGAAAGAGTTGAAACATTTTCACACTTGTGATTTAAGCTTTAAACTTGGAAAATTTCAGGGGGCAGTTGCCTGTTAACTAGTGGGGGCCAATGGCTGTGATATTTAATTTTGTCTAGCCAATTCACGGACTATTGGGTGCGATGGTTCAACAAGGCTTGGGGAAACTTGTTTTTTGCTAGTTTCACACACTGCTTTGTGATACAATCTTGTGTAATGTGTGTAAATAACATGTAGGTGCTGTTATATGTGGTACATATTGTAAAAAGAAGTGCAAATCCATTGGGATGTCCATGTACAATAACAATTCTGACATTAAAAGAAAAAAAAGCCTTTAACTAAGTTGTCTTTGATTTTCCTACTGGTTGGATTTGACATTTTACTATTTGCAATGTGTGCTTGGCAAAGTCTTATTTCAGTGCAAAATAATTACTCTCAAAAGTGATATTTCTATGAATTACCTCGGGCCTGTCTCAAGAAAGTAAGGATGAAAAGTTCAATCAAGTGGAAAACTGAAGAGTTGTAGCTGTTATCTATTGCAGTGCCTGTGAGGTTAAGTGTATTGTTCCTTCTCAGTACCTTAATTAGAAAGGCCTTGGCATTCAGTTATTCCGTCATCAGTCACCAAGGGCAGAGGAACAGTGGGTCTACTAAAATGATATCGTAGTGGTTGTGTATTTCAGTTTGCTATGCTGTACAGTGGAGTTTAAGCAGGTCGTCAACAAACTTCAATTTGGAGCATATTGCGTAGTTCAACTTTTCCAACACATGGGGGTGACACAGACTATATTCTGCTTTGTCCTTTTTTCATCTCAAAAGAAGCTTGAGCTGCTATACGCACTGACATGGAGCTGAAATGCCACAATAATAGAAGGATAATAAAATATCAGTCATTCAGAGAAGATTTGGATCAGTACTGTTCCATTAAAACTTTTTGTGGCACAAAGAATGTATTTACTTGGTAACTCCATCCAACCAGAGATGTGATGTTTGTTTGGTGGAGCTCATTTTGTTCCCAGCAGAATCATTTTATTTGCTCAGTGTATGTTATTACAAATTTCTTCTTTTGATTTTCAATTTGTCAACAAAATGGGATTTTGTTATCAGTCTGTCTAGATATATTCATGCTTCCAAAACGTAAAAGATTATTTTTTTTATATTTATTACTGAAAGGTGAAACAGAACCAGTTACAACAAATAAAGAATACTGAGAAACTAAAAGCCTAAGAGCCAGTTATTCATATTATAGCATTTCAGGAGTTTTCTGATGTGACTGCATTAGCTAAATAATTAGAGGTAGCTAGTTCACCTATGCAGTCACATCTCTTAATAACAGAAAAATTAATCTGATTAAAGTTTTGAAAACTTACGACCTCTGCCAAGGACGTCTTGTTTTCAGTCCTCAACAAGTACTTAACACATTTCAGTGACATTTGCTAGAAATCAAGACCATAAGCCAAGGAAGAACTTTTTTTTTTTCATTAAGTCCATGCCAAATCATCTAATCACATGCAAAATTATTTTTCTCTTTCCACACTTGCCTGTCCAAATAAACCAGAACCATTTCCACCTACACAGACATTCTACAACACTTTTTTGTTTTACCAGGATTTCACCAAACTCTTTGTAACTGTGTTGCCAATTTTTTGTTTGCAAGTCCAATTTGTCTAAATTTACAAAATGCATGCATCCAGTTCCTGCAAAATTTGATGGTAGTTCCCCTTTCTGATTTTCTGTCCTGAGTCTGACTCACTTGAAATCTAGTCTTTTATTTTGTGTTTTAATTTAGGAATTCTCTGACAGTAGAGTGACATGAAAGGCAGGGGAGAGAGAGGGGGTGACATGCAGAAAAAAACAACCATATCCTGCTCTCCTCAAAACTTCAGACTCTTTTCAGCTGAAAGAAAAATTACAATGTCTACCCCTTTTTTTTGACCCCTCCTTGCCCCCAATTAATTTTTGTGCGGTCCCTAAAATAAACCAAAAAAGGCTTTCATAGCAGAAGTCTTTGCAGATATCTGGTTTCATGTCCCTCTCTGATCTGACAGCAGGTTTGACCTCAGTGCCACCGTAAACACACACACACACACACACACACACACACACACACACACACACACACACAAGCCCTTAGAAACTATGAACTGCTGTTTATATTCAGTAAATCACTGCCAAAGAACCACCACAACTGAAGACAAGACAGCGATACAGGAGGGGCCACAGGTTTTGATGTGGTAGAAGAAAGCTACCAGGTCAACAGTACACACTTGACCTCACACTTTTTGGGTAAGTAAACTCCACTGATTGATCCCCTGACTCTGCCAGTCCATCACGACAGATAAGGACAAAGAAGCGCACTGTCTTACACCACATCCAATGAGAATATCTGCTCTTTCTTTCCTCTGCTAACACTGCGTGGTTGTTTTTGTTTCATCATGTATCTGAAGGCTCAAAAGGCTGCTATTTGATGGAACCATGCAAGGGGAGCAGAGCTGACCGCAAGCTGTTTCACACTTCAAAAGAAGCACTGTGCAAGTGTGTGTGTGTGAGGCAGAGAGAGAGAGAGAGAGACAGAGAGAGAGAGATGACGAGAAGCAACAAGTGTCTGAATGTTCCAGAAAACCCCTCGAAGATGGCCATCTGGGTTGCACTGATATCAACTCACACACACACACACATATAGGTGTCTCCTATGCCGTCTGGTCTGAGTGGAAGTTGGTGGTGTCTTGTGAACCTTTACAGACAGACACAAACACATACACACACATACATACATACAAACGTCCACTCCATCATAGCAATTGTGTGTTTGTGTGGGCTTGACCATTAGGGAGTCTTCAATGGCAGACAGCTGGCGATCAATGATGCACTAGTTATCCCTTGTGTGCATGTGCGGATGTGCACCGACGTACACAGCGTAAACACAATGGTTAATGGTAATTGCTGCACCAGCTTGCGTTAATTGATAGAGGACAGCATGCTTACACACTCACATACACACAAACACATTAACACATTAGCACATGCACATAAACAGAAGCCAATCAGGCAGACTGAGAATGTGTCCCCGGAGAGATTGAGCAGCCGGAGAGCAGGGGTGGTGGTGGGAGATGGAGAGGTGGTGGAGGAGACAGTGAAGGAGGAGAAGAGGAGGAAGAGAGGTTAAACACTCCCCAGAGACAGCTGCTAGTCAGGGCTCTTAGTTTTGTGCACATAGGCTACGGTAGGTGAGCAGCGCGTGGCGTGCATGAAAACACAGGGTCTGAGAGATTGTCTCCTATTTTTGGGTCTGCTGTGTTTTTGTGAATGTTCCTCCTCTTCAAAAGGAGCCCTCTCCCCTCTCCCATCCCGAACCCTCCCTCCTCCATCCTTTTCTCTCAAACATAAACATGCTTGCACACAGACGCGTGCGCGTGCGCACACACGCACACACGCACACACACACACACACACACACACCAGATCTTCAGAGCTCCCAGCGTACCAGCATGTCCCTGTCTTCCACAAAGCCATGAAAAAAAAAAAAAAAAACGAACCCACGAGCTGATCACCATAGCAACACGTTATATATCTTCCAGCAGTATTTATCCAATCCAGAGAGGAGGGGTTGTAGTGGGGGTGGTGGTGGTGGTGGTGGTGGGGTAGATGGAGTGGGGAGGTGGAGGTGGTGCTGGTCATGTATATGTGTGTGTGTGTGTGTGTGTGTCTGTGTGTGTATATTGTGTGTGTGTGTGTGTGGGGGGGGTGTGGTTGTGATGCAACTCCTCCAAAAATCAAACGGTCATTAGAGAAGAGGGGTTGCAGTTCATGTGCGTGGCCACAGGGCGGCAGCAGCGTCCAGTGCAGCAGGACAGCAGCATCACCGAGGCATCGCTTCAAGACCAGTGGCTTTCAGTCATGTGCCACGCAGGGCTTACAGGCTGCAGGTTTCATCCCAGCCAAATACTACACCAGCTTATTTCAGTTTTTATTAGAAGGTATGCCAATGTGTGAGACTGACTTTTATGGTTTGAAGGCCTGCCTGCGTGCATCTTCGTGGCACATGAGTGGTAACTGCTGGACTAGACAAGAAAGGTTCAAAAGAGGAAGTGGTTCCAGTGCATCCTCAAAAACATCACCTACCAGTGGGATGCTGGGCACGTATTAAAGGATGGGAAAAAATGATTGAAGAAGAGAAGAAAAAAGAAAATGAATGGTGGGGCAGAAAGAGAGCAGGAATGATTGCAAGGTCCCCCTCCTCCCCAAGCATAAGGATTAGATGTTGTGCTTCTGGCTGCAGATGGGTTTGGGCTTGATTCTGTATGCGTGTGCACAGTGTGTAATGTGTGTGTATATGTGTGTGTGTGTGTGTGTGTGTGTGTGTTTGCTGGTGTATGTGGGTTTATTTTTTGGGCTCAGGAAGCAGGTTAAGCAAGGAGGGGGGAGAGAGAAGAGAGAAGAAAAGGAGGGAGAGGGGAGTGAGGAGGAGGATGAGAGGAGGGAACAGGATGAAAGGATGTAGGTGAGTCTAGGAGGAGAGGAGGCCTAAATCCTCAGTGAGCTCCTGGGAGAGAACAAGGAGAGACACAGAGAGACTAATGATGTGAGAAAAGGGGAAATGTAGAAAGACAGAGGAAAACAGGAAGAGACTGACACCAAGTGTGTGTGTGTGTGTGCGTGTGAGCGAAAGACATATAGACTGGATGGGGGGCAAAAAGTGTAAGGGCAGCACAAGTCTCCTTGCTCACAAGTTTATATAGAAAAACCCAACAGGACCTGACAAGAGTCTGATAGGATCAGCTCCTCTACATGTTCACTCACTCATACACCTACACACTTGCCCTCACACACACACTCACAGTCCCACTTGCCCTCTCTTCAGTGCCGCTCCATTTTTCCAATATTCTGAGCTTAAAGTGATATTTTTCATTTTGGTACATTTTAAATTTTTCAGTAGGCTTTACCTGGTGTGACTTTGTGAGCCATTAGCCTTCGACAGCGCCCGACCTGTACAGTACCTCTGTGGGTCGATTGCTCAAATTCAAACCCTCACTGGACTCTCCTCTCCATTAACTTGAAAAAGTGAACCTGCAAAACAGAAAATGTTGTTTTCAGCTCAGTGGTTTTTTACCATCACCTTGTTGTGCTCTTCTCTTGGAGGTCAAGGACATGAAATGTGTCGATGAGGCCGGATTTTGGTGAGTGCTCGTCTTTAGTGCTGAAACTATTAGTCAGTTAATCAAACTAAATTAATGGAAAGAAATTTGATAATGGATCAATTGTTGAAGTAATTTAACAATCAAATAATTCAGTATTTTGTAGCAGATCAAAGTGGACGCGTAACTGGACAAAACTCTTG